CCTCGTGGCCAAATCGCTGTCTTTATCGTAACGATTATAGCTAGCTATTCGCTAGCCGATTTCCCACCGGGAAACTAGCACATTTTATTTCTTTTATTTGCTTTAACTTTTACTTGTTCTAAATTTATTTTACAATATGAATTTATATATAAACAGTTATATCAATTGTGAAACATAGTTTTACACATTTTTATATATTTTAGCACAAGCACTTATCACAATTTTATATACATTTTATTGTAAAAAACGACCTGTAATGAAGTCACAATGGGACTCGGTGATAAGACAAACTGATGTCTTCTTCTTGCTCCAGCTATTTGTTTTATTATTTATGTTATTTTATAAATTGTAACTTTATACGGCAAAAATTATAACAAAATAAAACAAAACAAAACAAAGTTTTATATTGATCTAAAATATTAGTTATAATGAACTTTGACATAGAAAGCAAAGAAATAAAATTTTGCTAAAATTAGAGGATACTTAGAAGCAGATAAAACAATTTGGTAGCTCATACACGAAGAGTGATTACTCTTTGGTAAAGATTCCTAAAACATACATATTTTACAAATGCTCTACCAAATATTAACAGCTCTTAAAGCCATCTTTTTATTATCAATCCATCGAGTATCACAAAAAGGAAGAGGAAATTGATTATTTTTAGTCACAACAGTAAAGTCTTCCCGTCAGGCAGGAGAACCATGGAGAAGAATTTTTAAAAGCATAAAGAGCTTTTAAAATCTTTTAAATACTCCAGTCTGTTTTGTATTCCCCACATTTGAATGATGGATGAATTGAATAAAGACCACAAGAATTAGTTGGAATTAGTTTGTTAATGTTATTTTCGGCACAATGGTTTTGTAACTTAGAGTAGAAGGCGCTTGCATTTGGGATATCCATAAATACTTGAATAAGTTTGATTTTATTCAAAGATTTTAAACCCAATAAAAAATTATGCAAAAGATCTAATTAAGCTCAAAAAAAAATAATTGCTTTCCTTAAAATTAAACTGAGTAATAATAAAAAAAAAGACTCATAATTAAAGAGTTTCTAAAATAAGATAGATTACCCATGATTTTTCTAAAATTTGACCTAATTTTCCCCTGCTTTTTTTAAAGACATCAAAATCCCCTGACTTTTTCCTGATTTCCTTGATCTGGTAGACACCATGGAGAGATAGAGGGGGGGGGGGTAGTATCCCCGGCCCCTCACAGTGGTCAACTAAGCTATGATATGGCAAAAATATTCAAAAAATAAAAGTATCAAAAAATCAGTTGAGTTTTTTTAATGTTCTCCTTAATTATTGAACTTGGAGTTAAAAAATTAGAAAATATATTTTGAATCTTCTTCTGTCTCCAAAAATTTTTTCTTTGACACCAGATGACGAGTAAACAAATTTTTTTTTCTGGCATGGAAAATCATAATTTTTTATTGCAAATTAGAAAAACGTTGAGGTTCACCAAATAAAAAACAATAGATTCATGATTACATGTAATCCCTAGACTTTAAAATATTTAAATTATAATATATAATTTTGGTTTTGAACAAGCTTAAAATCGAATTTTGAAAAAGTACAATATTTTTATCATTTCCGTAATTTTGCATTTTTATTAAACTGTTGAAAAATGTTGAAAATTATAAAATATTCTTTAAAAAGCCTAACTTTCCTTTTTCAGACAATGAAAAATTTGTGTCTCCATATTTTCGAAAAATAGATATTTTTAAATTTGAAACCTGACACTTTTGTATGGTTAATCCGTACATGCACAAAATTTCTAATAACGCAAAATTTTATCGTCGGCCGTAAATCAAAACAGAACTTGATTGTTATAACTTTTTTATTTTTTGTCTAATTTAAAAGTTTTTGTACTCAAAATTTAGCTCTTTTTATTCTCTACATCAAACTGCAATGGTCAGTCATCATTGTTTATAAAATGGTAAGAATTATTAGCATTTTTACAAAAAACTAATATAAAAACTTTTACAAAACAATTTTTTTATTTGAATTATTTGTTTTTTGCCCTAAAATTTTTTGACTTACCAGGATTTTGTATTAATATTGTAAAAATAAAATGATGTATTTGTTCTGTTTTAGACATACCCCATTCTAAGAATAGATCTTCTGAAAGCTATGCAAACTAGTGGGCTGAAGTTTACTGATGTTCCTGGTCAGCTGAACTTCTTAAAAATCTACACTCTTTTTTGTCTGTCAGTAACTTTAGAGGAAGTTGGAGAGACAATGGAAGAACTCAGGGAAAAAATTATAATTTTTTTGGTCAATGTAGAAAACGAATGCAAGAAAAATTCCTGCCACATTGACAGGCTCTTTAAGAGTACAACAAAAGGAAGCTTTCTCTCCAAGGATTTTGCTCTTCCTGATAAACTTTTTGAAAAAAGAATTTATAAAAGTGAAAAAAAGAATTTGTAAGTGAAAAAAAATCTATTTGATCAAGATTAACTTAATTTGTAATAATTCTGCAATGATTATACTCTTAAATTTACTTTTTTTCTTCTCTTATAATGTGATGTAATTTATAGTGCTATCCATGAAAGAATTGTTTTATTAACAAATTACCTTTTAGGGACCCATCTCCACCTAAGAAATTAAAGGTAGGGCAACCTTCAAAAGACTTTAAACAGAAATCTCTCCGTGGGAAGCAACTTTCAAGTGCAGAAGTTCGTGCTAATTATGAAAATGGTGCTGTCATGTTAGCTGGAGCTCAATCTCAACAAAACTGGGGTTTATGGTCTGCAAACTACTAAATCAGCCTGAAGAGGTTGTTAACAAAGCCTTGAAGGCAGCTCTGGAACCTCCTCTACAGATGCCTGTCCTAAAAATACCAAATGCTGCTTTTGCCTTCATCGTCAACAACAATATTTTGAAGAGAACATATTGCCAACTAAAAGAGGAATGTGCTGGAAACTTTTCTAACATCTGGCAAAATTATAATGCTGTAAGTGAAACATATTAATTGACTTTAAACCAAACAGTAAAAAGTTGAAAGAAGGAATCTATATTTTCTCTAACCTACCTTTACTGTTTATACTTTGTAGATCTTTCTATATTTCCTTATTTAAGTTCAATAACATAAATCACACTGTCATGCAGGTTTTAAAAGCTTTATAAATTTATAGGTCCTAAAAATCAACTTTTCCATTGAACCATTTGTTCCTTTAAATTAAAATATTCCTGGAAGATGCCCTCTTACTTGAACGGCTGAAGGACAGCGCCTCTGTCAAGGAATCTCTGAATCTTTGCTTTTACTCCAAATTTGGCCTAGATGGAGTTGGTTCATTTGCTAACTTCCATCAAAAGGATGAGAATGGGAAAGTTCCAGATGGCAAAACATACCTTGTCTCAAAATTGTTCCACTTCAAGCAAGATAAAATCAACAAAGATATGATTTTTACAACAACAAGGATGCTAACAGTGGCAGAATAGCAATTGAACCCGAGTCTAAAGAAAACCTAGCTTGTAAAATAGCTAGATTAATAGATGAAGAGATTCTCAACCTTCAAGATCTTATTATGGTGGATTCTCCAAGGATAAACCACTCCAATATTTTTCTCACTATTATAAGACCTGTAAAAAAGTAGTCTTACAAGAAACTTCAGGGATGAATATTGTAGCTATTTATTTTACAGGTGGTTGTGAAATACAAAGGTATCTTTTCCATGATTGATGGAAAGATTCTAAACTAACTGACTTCCGGCTGATCAACTAGCCATTGTCCTTTATGCCATCAATCATCAAGATAAATATCAAATCCATCTGTAGATTATATCAAATCCATCTAGAGCATTGGAACATGGAACAAGTATTTTGAGGCAACTTTTTTCTATTATATTCCTATACAATCATGCAATCAAAAAAAAATTCGTTCATGATTTTAGCCATGATTTTTCAAAATAAAATTCTTTTTAGTGGTCACAGCTCAAAATTGTGGTATTCTTGTACGAAACTTGGCCTTGGATGCTGAAGCATTTGGTAGGTTCTGTGATGCAACAAAGGCAATTTACTTTGATCATTGCAATTGGTTTCCAATCACTCCAACTCTTCACAAAGTTCTCTGTCACGGTAAGGCTTTGGTTGAAAACTGTTTACTACCTATCGGATTGACAAATGAAGAGCCAGAAGAAACCTACCATTCTTTCATGCAACCAGATCTGACCATGCCAGAAAGACTTCATGGACTGATGGTTTAAAAGACTGATGTTTTTGCATTTTATTGAATCAAGTGACCCTGTGACCAACAAAATACAAAAAACAACTGAGTCATTCACAACCTATATCCAATAAAATCAGGAAGTTGCTTTTAACTCCTGTCTTGCAAGTAGTAGTTGATTCTGAAAATATTATAACATTATTAAAAACCTTTCTGAATTTCTGTATGATTCTGAATTTGAAAATGATCTTTGAGTCTTACTGACTTTAGTTTTTGAAGAAATTTGTGAATGACATTCAGTTTGTTGATTTGTAGTGTAGTTATTCAATTTTATTATTTAAAAGTACTTTCAAGTTGACTTAGCTAGAGTAAACATATGTCTTTGATGAAATTTTTAATGTTTTTTGTCATATTACTGCTATTTGTTTATATTTTGTGTAAAACAATTTTTTTTTTTAATTTTAATTATTTTTAACCAAAATGACTGAAAAAGTTCCTAGAAATATTTTTTTCGCCATTTTATAGCTCAGTTGACCACTGTGCCCCTCCTCAAATTGTTTTAGGTCCTGGCCCCATTATTTTGCGACACCTTGACCCTTGGAAATATACTCGTAAGCTTTTTTACTATGGAAAACAGAAGGGAGTTGAATATGGCCTACATTGAGCTTTTTGTGCAGGATGGATATATATATATATATATGTATATATATATATATATATATATATATATATATATATATATATATATATATATATATATATATATATATATATATATATATATATATATACATATATTTAAATAAAGCATATTTTTAAATAAAACAATTTCTACAATTTAAAACATTTTATACGTAAGTATACATAAATTATTAAATACTTTTTTAAAAAAAAAACAAATTAATTTATAAAAAAATAAAGCGATAGGAAAATTGTGTACAAAAAAATAAAAAATTTTTTTATATTTTCAGAACTATAGTTAAGAATTTCTTATGTCTCCAGATTGTAAGTATTTCATGTTGATGTTAAATGTTGAACAAGTATTACCAACTATATTTTATTATTTACAGACGTAACAACGTTAGTAATGGCGTTATGTAGTCTTTCCGGTTTTGCGGAAGAAACTATTTTTTCGTAAAGATGGAGCTGTCGTATCCAAAAAATATCCTAACTTCAACTTCATTGCACTACCTAATAAAAAAAAAGTTTGTCGTTAATCAAACTAATATTTCACAACTAAATGATAATTTTATTGAACAAATATGGACTTATCTATGTTTAAAAAATCAAAAAATTTAAAAAGATGTATTTATCGACCATAAGACGTATCTCATGAGGACAATAACTTCATTTTGTTGTCTTTTAATGCTGAACAAATATTCATCAGATTACAACAACCATATTATAACTGGAGGTTTTAACAAAAATACAATGGATTGGTCTGACAAAGATTGTCCTTTTTCAGCGACTGATAATGAATCTCAGACAAATTTATTGAATAATTTTAAGAAAGTTTTCTATTTCAGTGTATACGTAAGCCAACATTCGAAAAAGCTGCAAATCAACTATTCCAGTCTTATTATTACGAATTATAAAATTATTTCTATATTTCATTCAGCGCTTTGAGGAAATGTCAAGTAGGTTTATTAATTATTAAACTGTTGTCATCTAATGAAAATTTTTCTCAGAAACATAAGATACTGGATTCAACTATATCAAATAGAAAATTACAAATTATTTTTAAGTCGTTTCAAGAATGTGGATTAAAAACTGATTTTGATTAAAAACAACTCAATCAATGAAATGTATTTTTGTATCATTTCAGTTGTGCAGCTAAAGAATTTATCCTAGCAATTAATAATCGAAAAAGAAGGAATAAAATTTATTTATGAATTATTTATAGATTATTTCTGAATTGAATCATGTGATACAATCGAATTCAGTCGGTAGTAATTTAGTTCATCGAAATCAGTCGGTAGTAATTTAGTTCATCGAAATCAGTCAGTAGTAATTGAGTTCATCGAAATCAGACGGTATTAATTTAGTCCAATGAAATCAGTCGGTAGTAATTTAGTTCATCGAAGTCAGTCGGTAGTAATTGAGTTCATCGAAATCAGTCAGTAGTACTTTAGTTCATCGGTAGTAAGTTAGTTCATCGAAGTCAGTCGGTAGTAATTGAGTTCATCGAAATCAGTCAGTAGTAATTTAGTTCATCCTCACATTTTAAAAGAATGCACGTTAATATCGTATTTGTTATACTTGGAGTTCAAAAAATCAAATGATACAGGTACTCTACCAGATATGCGGAAGGCAAATATATCGCCACTCTTCGAAAAAGGATGCATGTTAGAAGCACCAAACTACAGACCGGTCTCGTTAACTTAGATACCGTGTAAAGAATTAGAAAGAACAGTAGCTGATTGAATCATGCAACACTTGATAAAAAACAATTTACTTGCAAAAAAACACAACTTTCAAAATGCTTTAGGAAAAGAAAAAAGATGCATAAAAACCTATTAGAAACCTTGATATTTTTTAACAGATGTTTTTCATAATGGAATACCGATAGATATATAATAAACAGACTTTAAAAATTTTGATAGCGTTTCGTATAACAAATACTGTCTAAGTTATTTACTTGTGTATTTCTAGTATGTACTTCTCATATGGATAAGTGTGACTTTTAAAGTATTTTGTGGTGTACCACAAAAATCTGTTCTAGGTTCTCTCCATTTTCTGATTTTGATAAATGATTTAACACAAAATTTAATTAATGAATGTCGTTTATATGCTGATAAAATAATAAATTTCTTTTTAATTCTGATTAACTCTCATTTCTACAAATACTATAATGGTCACTGCTGAAAAGGAGCTATCATCTCTAGTTCCATAAACCAAAAACTGATTCTCGCTTGACACACCACTAAGCAAAGTCTCATCTTTTTACTGTATCTGTTCTTGCATGCTCTAAAAACTTGTATTTGTCTAGTTTCCACACTTCATTTGTTTAGAACTCTCTTCCATCATGTTTTCCTGACTTGTAAAACCTAATTTAAATCATCTGTCAACTTTTTCCTTGCTCTTTAACTCTAATCTTATATTTTTTTAAATAACTCCCAACTTAATAATGGTTGCTTGCAGCCTTGTTGTATTTGTAGAAAAGAAAAAGAGATGCTACTTTACGTTAGTAGGAAAGAGGCTCAGGAAGGAAGAGAAAAAGCGTTATTAGAAGAACCAGCCCAAATATGACAACAGTTTTCTATACAGGAGCGAATAAGAGATTTGTAGAGGTAGAAAATGGAACCAGAAGTAAGAAAAGGGCAAGCACAATATAGATAAGTATATTAATATAGCATTATATCAATTAAGTAATCTATTGTTAACTTAGTAATCTATTATTAACTATATATAACAATCTATTATTAACTTAGCAACCATATTATTTATAATATTTCCATTATATTACTTCCATGGGAGCTCAGTAGTGAAAAATAATACAAAAACACGTAAAGATGAGAACAGTGATAGGGCTGCCATTCCTTAATATAGGAATTTATAGAAATATAGAAAAATTCACAAGCCAGCTTCAATCTGTTACAGAAATGAGATCAGAGATCAAGATCGGCTGATAATTGTGTCTATTTCATTTCAAAATGATTCACAAGTTTCAAAATGATACAAACCAAATTAAGAAATGGTCTATAAAATGGAAAATATGAATAAACTTTTAAATATATAAAAGTATACACTTTGGCTCCAATAGTAAAGAATATTAGCATTTTATGAACAATAAAAACATTATTAGAAATTAAAAAGTCAAACCCTGAACCAGACATTTCTGTTTATATATCAAGTGATTTAAATTGAGCCAAATAAGTATATTATGCAGTTAGCAAAGAAAGCAATATGCTCTCATTATTAAATAATACATTCAGGTACAATGATAAAGATTTAATAAAAACACTGCATTGTACATATGTTAGACCATATTTAGAGTTTTCCATCCAAAAATGACGTTTGTATTATACTAAAGATATGATTGAACTAGATATCGGGCGATGTTTTTTTTTGACCAACAAAATTAATTATAGAAAAAACAAGAACTTGAGCACCCATACAATAAGAAACGACACTCATAAATATAAAAAAAAAGCTAGTAAAAAAAAACTGCAGTGATTTTGCAAACGGCTATTCGAACGTCTTTATTTATTAAACTATTAAACACAAAGACTTAAAGTAAAATTTAAATAAAGAAAAAAATAACTACTAAAAATAGAAAAAAAAAAAAAAAAAAAAGAAGAAAAAAGTAACGGAAAAGAATTTAAAATTATAATTAAAAAGGCAAAATTAGAAAATAAACTTCAAGCTATTAAATGACATTAACTAAACATGACATTGTTACTCACATGAGATCCAGTTAAGGGCCTTAGCTGGCGAACCAGAACTGGCCATTGCCGGACCATAAGCGTATCATTAATGGCTCGCCAAAGGTACGAAAATGCATGGCGCAAAATGTTTTTAATGTATATGCAAATTTTACGGAGAGAAAAATATAATTATATTTTCATTCAAGTATATAATTTTCATTATATCACATCCTGTATATTTAGTAATCTTGGTTTTAGTTATAAGCTATTGGATTGAAAGAAAAAAAATTCGAGAAGTTAAAATTATTTTATTTTAACTTTTAACTATTTATTTGTCCGAAATCAATCAAGGGGAAATGGTTATTGATGGAGCCTATAACTATGATTACATAGGTAAAACTGGGTTTTATTTTCCTCAGCTTATTGACGCTTTACCCAAAACAGTCGTTCAAAGCAATTGCAAAAAACATGGGTTGAAGACTTTAGATAAATAACCTTCCAACACTCTGCTCTGGATAATAACCTCAATATTTCTTATCAAATTGATAATGAAATTAGTGAATTTGAAGCTTTATTTGATAATGATTCAGATAAAAATGATAAGAATATTGTAATAGATGAACTAGAGGGTGATTTAGCATTTTGATCTTCTCAGCATAATATCACACAAGAATTCACTGATTTAATTTGCTGATCTATGACCAGAGCTGCTTAAATGTTAATGCATCCTAAAATTTTATTTAAATTTGCGTTTTTTATGTATTTAAATAAAATTCATATGTATTTTTTATGCTATATTTTACATGATCTCATCATCATTGTCATCATCCCCCACCTTTATTTTCCTTTATTCTATATATTTATTCAACCTTAATTATATTTCTTTATAATTTTCTCATTTTTAATTTGGCGTTGAATAAAACAAGTACTTCACTATGTTTTAATTATTATTTGTTGACTAAAGTATACACTTATTAACTCCGTTAATGTTAGCCTTAAAATTATTTTTACTGAACATCGTAATATATTAAGGTATTATTTTGTATTTAATGTATACTTTTTAATGTATACTTTAAGGTGTTTATAATATACCATAAAAATTTCTATAAACTATATTTTAACATTAGACTTATGTGTTTAGAGTACAGAAGTAACCTGATGAAAATTATGATAGTGACTTACAAGATTTTAATGAACATCAAGAATTAAAAAAGTCTTGTCTGCAGACACCTGTCTCTGTATTAAACAAAAGTAAAACGAGATTGGAAAAAGTGATCATAATTACCTCTGTGATTAAGGTATTTTGACTACTGATTTGTAGCCTATTGCAAAACATTTTAAGAATTATAACTAATGTTAGTAAAAAAAAAATGAACTAAATTGTTTTACTAGTGGTAGCAATTTTTTTCAAGGTGAAGGGAGTAGCAGCAAAAAGGGAAGTAGCAAAAAAATTAAATTGGACAGGGCAAGGTGATCTTCAAAAAAAGTCTTTCCGAATTCTTAAATTTTGTCAAGTTATTGAAAGTAAGTTAATAAATATAATAATAAATAAATATAAATATTTAAAATTGTCTTTCATTATTTTCTTCACTTTATTGTCATTTATTAAATTTATATATGTGTGTTTCTATGTGTGTGTGTTTATATATATATATATATATATATATATATATATATATATATATATATATATATATATATATATATACATACATACATACATACATACATACATACATCCATGCATGCATGCATGCATGCATGCATGCATGCATGCATTCATACATACATACATACATACATACATACATACATACATACATACATACATACATACATACATACATACATACATACATACATACCCACATTAGGACCATGTGAATCTTCAAAATTTCGAATTGAATCAGAAAAGTGATTTCGGTTCCAAAAAAAAAAAGATTCAAGTTATTGAATATTTACTTATTTTCTTTTTGTTGTAGTATTTTTGAATAATTGGACACTTTTGCACTTTTAAAAAATACTTTCTTTATTCTTATCATTTGTTAAAAATTGTTATTAATTGTTAAAAATTGTTACCAATTGTTAAAAATTATTACCAATTGTTTAAAAGGTTAACTACTAAATGAAGCACCAAAAAAGAGTTTTTACCATTATTTTTTTTCTTTTGAAATATATAATATAAAGAAATATTTTAACTCACATTCCTTAATTATATTATTATTGAATTATATACTGAATTATATTATATTATATATATATATATATATATATATATATATATATATATATATATATATATATATATATATATATATATATATATATATATATATATATATATATATATATATATATATATATATATATATATATATATATATATATATATAAACAAAGAGAGAGAGAGATACAGATATAGACATATACAGATATATAAAACACCTATATTTAGCTATACTCTTATAATTTTGTTCATAAAAACACTTGATATATGACTGTGTTTATGTTTATAGAAGCAATACGAAGAAATTTGCTGACAAAAGATACCACACACAGTGAAATTTAAAAGGCAGTTGTGGCTTTTTTTATTAGAGCTCTAGACAGAAATAGAGGCAGAAAAGAAAGAGCAGAAAAAAAGTCCATCCAAAAAATCAGTTCAACAAAAAATCGTGGCTATACTGGCCAATCATTGACATTGAAACCTTTATCTGGATTATCATTACCACGATATGAATGCTTTATTTTTGATGAATCTGACAAAGTATAATGTTCTCAAAGTCTTGCATGATCTGTTTTATATGTTATGTTTTATATTAATTGTATATTTGACATTATTATAAGCTTTACAAGTATTTATATTATTAATGATAAATTTAATGCATTTATTTTTTATATATTTTTAATGCAAATTTATTAACTTGTAAATTATTAACAAACAATATATTATATAAATTCAATAATTGTTTTTTGTTTTTAACTTATGTCTATTTTAACAAAAAGTAAAAAAAACAAAAACTGACAAACATAATAGATATAATAATTATTTTTATATAATTAAATAAATTTATATATATATATATATATATATATATATATATATATATATATATATATATATATATATATATAATAAGTAAAATTAGTAAAAATCGATGAAAAAATTAGTTTAATTGGACAATTTTGTATAGTGGGCATTTAGTGCAACGTTCGCTAATTGCCAACGTTGGCCCTAAATTGAATCAATGTTGGCTTGCCGCTAGCAAAACATTGCTGCGCTAGCACTGGCTTTCGTATACTGGCCCTTTGAAAAACCAATGAGCAACCCGGCGCTGGCACGGCGCTGGCGTGCCAGGCATGGTAAAGCTCGGTAGCCGAGCCTGGTTCGCTATTGGGCCAAATAGTGTCTGCTTACTGGGTTGCTAATATTATGCTGATACATTTAAAGATTTATGTTTAAAATTTACAAAAAATACTATATAAAGCAAAAAACTAATAGATCAGTAAAAAAGGATCCACTTAAATAAAGTCCAGTAAAGGCGACGTCCATAAAGGATGTCATTCAAAAATTATTACTAACCAGAAGTAGAAGTTTATTAGTTCCCTTCCGCAGAGATTTTCATTGAACATAATGCGCTAAATTACTCTTAAAGTTTCTGCGCACACAACATTTTCTTACTTCTTGCAACTAGTTAAACTTAAAGTGACGTCCTTTATGGATGACCCCAAAGGTGAAGTGCACTTTTTTCATTTTCCAAACAACTTTCGCACTTTACTTTCATGATCCAAATAATTTTTAAATTACTAATAACAACGTTTATGATTATAAAACATTTAATAAAACAATAAAATAAACGCTCTAATTAAACTATTAAGTTAATGAAACTTGTTTTTAACAACAATGAAACTGGTTTCTAACAACAACGAAACTTGTTTCTAACAAAAATGAAACTTGTTTCTAACAACAATTAAAAATATTCATGCAAGCCACGTAGATATAGAACGTTTTGACAGTGATCATGCGAACAATGTAGATGAACATGTACAATGTAGATAGAACATGTAAAAGAAGTTATAATTATAACTTATGTCATGTGTTGTGATAAGGTCTATAAAGAAGTCAATCTACTTAAGGGTTCAATATATTCTTAAATGAAATGCTTCAACTAGAAATTAGAAAAAAAAAACTTGTATGAGAAAAGAAGAGAGAAAGGGGTACCATGATGCATGGGGCACCATAAAACATTATAATTGTGGAGACATCTTAAGAGTTAAGACAGTTACTACTAGAGCTTTGAAAAAAAAAAAATCATTTGACATCATTAGGCTTGCAAGGGGTTAAAACGTTTTTTTTTTTGATGACAGTAATTTATTAGTTTTTAAAATTCATAAGTTTTGAGGTATCATTTTCATTATTGGTAACATTATTTTGTAAACTACAATCTGTGGGTTCTTTAGTTCAATAAAATATATCGATATATTTTATAATCATCAAAAAAACAAGTTGATACTAAAACAAAGCAAATTTTATTTTTAGCAAGTATGAGGTAATTTGATACAACATGTAATTGGGTACTGTTGTGGATTATGTCTTCCAAGATAAGTAGCAAAAATTAGCGGTTGTATCTTAATATAAACATTAATATATTTGTAATGATGCGGTCTTCTTAAAGATACTGGAAAATTACGCCAACGTAATTTTAAAGTTGATAATATAATATTTTGTGGTTTTGAATTTTATATAAAAAATGGATGATATTTGTAAATAATAGATTCGCAGTCATATGTAAATAAAACAACTATAAACAAACCTTTTGCACCTCCTAACATCGAGTGCAATCCTGTCCGCTTTCTCTATGCTGTCTTTCTAACACGACTACTTCTGTCTTTCACTCTAACATATCTTCGTTCTTCCTAAACTCACTTTACTCTTGGTCCGTAGAGCGGGTTATGACGCTTCTTAGGGAGCCGAAATTGTCTTTGCGGTACCTTGGTAATGTGGCCTCTATATGGCAATTAGCCGGAGGAGGATAAACCACAATACCAAACAACTATAAACAAACAAGTGAATTCATTAGTGTCACTGGGAAAAGTTTAATAATTCCCCACACTAAAAGGTGGCGGCCCTACCAGGACCAAAGGAACCTACAAATAATCGAAATGGATCAAGAGCGAAATTATCAGAGGGAGATCAACATGTTGAATATAAACATTAAATGCATAGAAAGCAACACCGCAGGCAGCGACAAATCGAGCATAATCTTGGCTTTAGACAAAATAACAAATTTGTTGGCAAGATTTTAAATGGCAAAAGATGAGCTGACCAGAAAAATGCTGGATGACGGTGAAAGCATTGATACGGTTGAAGAATGGTTATCGAAACCAATAGCGGAAGTTGAAGCAGCGAATGCAATTAAAAACGAAATGGTAAATAAGTTGGATCTAATAAATAAAAACGAATGCGTCAAGAGATTCGAGTATGAAAAACAATTTATGGAACACCAGTTAACAATCCAAAAAGAAGCGGAACAAGCTTCATTGCGGAAACTTCAAAACAAAGAAGAATGGTATCTAAGGAAGCTAAAAACAAAAGAAACATTGCGTAAATCTGTTGGAAACAATAACGAAGCTGTTCAGCAATCCGTCAAGCTTCAAAAGTATACTATTACAAAATTTGATGGCGACTATAAAGACTGGTTACGATTTTGGAATCAATTCACGGTGGAAGTCGATAACTCTAACATATCAAACATTAGCAAATTCAATTACTTAATGGAACTCGTCGAAGGAAAACCCAGAGAGGACATACTTGGTTTACCACACTTGTTGAAAGGATACGAAGAAGCCAAGCGTATATTACAAGACACTTATGGAAAAGATATTTGGATTCACAAAGCATTGATTAAAGATCTTGAAGGAATGATGGCTATACACAATACGCACAAAATTAAAGAAGTTCACGATTTTTATAATAAACTTGCAAGAACAGTGCGAACATTAAAAACGATGCACAAACTACAAACTGCTCAATCATTTGTATATTCATTAATGGATAAACTTGGACCGGTTCGTGAAATACTTACACAAAACGATGATGGATGGGAAGAATGGGGACTGGAGCAACTCGTCGAAAAGTTACAAAAATACATAGAAAGAAATCCATTGAACTCCGATTTCAACACTGAACAAATAAAATACGATAAAAAGAACTCAAACGTACAGTCAAGGTCTTATGAAAACCGAATCAGTACATTAAGCAACATAATAGTGGTAATTATGATAAATCAATGATGACAAGTGTTGGTAAAAATGAATGTATCTACTGTGGGTTGCAAAATCACAAAAGCGAAAGTTGTATAAAAGTGTTAAACGTTGCTAGATGCAAGGAGATTTTAAAAAACAAAAGATTATGTTACAACTGCATTGGTTATGGACATTCCGCGGCAAATTCTCAATCAAGAGGATGCAGAAAGTGTAACAAAAAACATCACACGTCGATTTGTCAAAATGTAAATGCAACAATGGACAATAAAAAAGAAACCATGGGAACGGTGTTTAATGCGAGTACAACTGTTCACCCGACAGTAATGGCAAAGGTAAATGGTGAAAAAGCAAGGATTATGTTGGATACGGGTGCTGGAAGTTCTTATATATGTACAAACTTGATAACAAAACTGAAGTTGAAACCTACACGAAGGGAACATAAAACCATCGAACAACTATATGGAACGGTAAACAAATGTGTGGAAATATATAATGTTACGCTAGAATCAATAACAATACCGGAATTTCACATCAAGATTGAATGCATCAACGCAGAAAAGGAAATACTGACCTTTTTACCCAATCCGATGATTGAGGAGGTAAAAAAGCAATTTGCTAGACTTAGGAGACTGAAATTTAGTAATGATAGAGAAGACGATGAAATACAACCTGTTCACATAATACTTGGTGCTGCTGATTATCAACGAATAAAAACTACCGAGCCGATGGTTCTCGGAAAAAATCCGGATAAAGATCCCGGAGCTGAATTGACTATGTTTGGATGGACTCTCTCTGGGAAACAAATGGAATTAAGCTCTGGTATTGAAAAGGGTTTTTTATTAAACACTGGTCGTGATGAGTTCGAGCAAATGTGTAGTCTTGAAGTTCTTGGATTGTCAGACGCAAACAATGAATCAATGTTCCACCAAGACTTTAGCGAAAAGCTGCACCAAACAAACGAAGATTATTATGAAACTAGAATGCCTTGGAAAAAAGATGTTGTTAAACTGCCAAACAACAGAGATCTGGCAATTAAAAGATTAAAAAGTACAACAAATCGATTGGAAAAACTTAACAAACTAGAGCAATATAATGAAATAATGATGGAACAGATCAGTGAGGGAATACTGGAAAAAGTGCCAGAAAAACCTACGGGAGAAATTGTTCATTACATTCCTCATCAAGCTGTAATCAAGGAAAATGCTAAGTCAACAAAAATGCAAGTTGTTTATGATTGTTTAGCAAGAAAAAATGCTCAATCACCTTCATTGAATGATTGTCTAGAAGTGGGACCTTCGCTGCAACCTCTAATATTTGACATTCTAATACGAAATCGGATGAACAAACTCTGCGTTTTAGCTGACATTAAGAAAGCATTTCTACAAATCCGAATTCAAGATATGGATAGAGACGCACAACGATTAATTTGGTATGAAGACTTTAAGAAAATGAAATTAATGGAGTTTCGATTTACAAGAGTAATTTTTGGTTCCAGTTCAAGTCTTTACATTCTCGGCGCTACGATTAAAAAACATATATCAAAATACAAGGATATTTATCCAAAGACAGTAGTTGCTTTGGAAGAAGATACTTATATCGATGATTTGCAAGCGGGTGGAGAAACGGAAGAAGAACTTATCAGGTTTAAATATGAATCAACACAAATCTTGAACAAAGCTGGTTTTCAGTTGCACAAATGGCATAGCAACGTGAGAGAATTGGAAAATAATGTTGAAGACAAATTAACAAAAATACTTGGACATCCTTGGAACAAGGAAACAGATCAATTGTCAATTGAATTCACTACTTGCACCAATAACGGAAATAAAGAAAATTTAACAAAAAGAAAAATTCTATCTGCAATCAACAGTGCTTTTGGCGTATTAGGATTTAGTGCACCTGTGTTAATCACTGGAAAAATTGTATAGTCTGTATAGTCTGTACTGTATAGTCGACTATGCTTATCAAAAATTGGATGGGATCATCAACTACCGAAGGAACTTTTGGAAGAATGGCAAACTTGGATTAAGACGATAAGCAACAAAAGAACTATATTGATTCCTTGGTGTGTTGTGTCCGGAAGAATTATGGAACTAGAGCTTCACGGATTCTCAGATGCAAGTAAATTAGCGGTATGTGCATGCATCTATGTTGTAACGAGCCACCAAAAATTCGAAAACGAGCAACTTACTTGTAGCAAAAGCACGGATTGCACCATCTAAGTATAGATTGCAGGATCTAAGTATTCCAAGACTCGAGCTAGTAGCTGCACATACCTTAAGCAAGTTGATGAACCATGTCAGGAAAACATTAGTCAATTATAACATTAGTAAAGTTTTTACTAATTATTTTTTTTTTTTTGGGTTGACAGCACTGCTGTACTTTATTGGCTGAAGAAAAGAGGCAGTTGGTCACAATTTGTAAGAAACCGAGTTCAGCAAATCTTATTAAATGGAAAGTAAAATGGCTTTATGTCCCAACAAAAGAAAACCCTAGCGATCTTGGAACAAGAGGAGTGAGTCCGGAAAAATTGCCAAGCTTGTGGTTCAATGGTCCAATATGGTTGAGTTATAAAGAAAATTGGCCAAACCAATCAGAAATATTTGATAACTCATATGGCACATTATTTGAAAGTATTGCTCTAAAGGAGAACCTCTGGATGGTAACAGAAGAAATAAAGGAAAATCGCACTTTTGAAGAATTGTGGAATAAATATAATTATTGGAAGATTTTAAGGATACCATCGTTTATAAAAAGGTTCATTTACAATTGTCGCAATAAAGAAAAAATAGTCGGACCAATAAAAACGGAAGAGATGATAGAAGCCGAAACGGTCAATATTAAACATCTACAAGGATCTGTTGTGCTAAAAGCCGATGTGGAACTTAAACAGGATGAAAAGAATCTTTGGAGGTGTCATGGAAGAGTTACTGGGTATAGCCCAATATTTATACCAAAAGGGTTCTTACTAACTCTACGAATTATTGAGCACCATCACACCAAAACCTTACACGGAGGAGTCGGAGATACCATGGGTAGCATAAGAGAAAGATTCTGGATACCGAATTTGAGAGTGGCCGTTAAAAAAATTATTCGTAGTTGCAATTTGTGTAAAAGGTACAGAGTGAAGCCTCTGTTACCACCAACAAAAGCAATGTTACCGCACTTTAGAACTGATAATGTTGAACCATTTGCAGTTAGTGTTGATTTTGCCGGACCGTTAAAGCATAAAGTACCAAAAAATTCGATTAAAAAAATGCTACGTTGCACTTTTTACATGCGCAAGTACAAGAGCCGTCTATCTTAAACTTTGTCATGACCCATCAGCAGTAGAATTTCATAGGGTTTTAAATGAATTTGTTGCGAGGAAAGAACCACCTCAAATGATAATTAGTGACAATGCGAAAACATTTGTGGCAACAGGGAAGTGGTTACTTACACTTAAAAACGACGAGAATATTGCCAACTATCTTGCTATACAAGCTATAAAATGGAGGTTTAATCTATTAAGAGCCCCTTGGTGGGGAGGTTTGTTTGAAAAATTGATTGGAATAATGAAGAAAAGCTTATCTAAAACTATCGGTAAAGGGATGCTTACTTTCAATGAATTAGAGGAAGTATTGTTGGATGTTGAGTGCTCAATGAACAATAGACCACTTTGTTACCAAGGTGACCAGTTTGACAATCAAGTACTGACACCAAACGTATTAATGAGGGGAAAACCTGCAATATTGCTTGAAGAAGATATTGCTTTAATTGCAAAAGAGGAATATGCAATACGGAGAGCCAAGTTTGTAAAAAACTGTAAAACCCATCTGAGAAAAAGATCGATGAACGAATATGTACATGCAACGGAAGAACGACAGCAAGTAAGAAATAAGGGAAGTAACATAAAAATGCCAGTTGTTGGAAGCGTGGTACTTATTAAAGAGGATGTAAAAAACAAAGCACTTCTAAATATTGGACGAGTTGAAATCAAAATCAAAGGAAAAGATGGAGTTACGCGTGGCTTAAAAATAGGATTGGGGAACAGTTGTGTTATTGAACGACCAATTCAACTGGTGTGTGACCTGGAAATCGATTTTAAGGCAGAGAGTATGATTGAATCTAAAAAGAACGTGGAAATTGGTAAAAAAGTGGAAACCCTAAAAAGAGTACCGAGACGGGCGAAATTAGATGCAAGACAAAAAATCAGTTGCATCATGGAAGACGAGATGGCTGATTAAAGGCGAAGTCTCAGCTTTAATCGGGGGAGTGTGTTGTAGATTACGTCTTCCAAGATAAGTAGCAAAAATTAGCGGTTGTATCTTAATATAAACATTAATATATTTGTAATGATGCGGTCTTCTTAAAGATACTGGAAAATTACGCCAACGTAATTTTAAAGTTAATAATATAATATTTTGTGGTTTTGAATTTTATATAAAAAATGGATGACATTTGTAAATAATAGATTCGCAGTCATATGTAAATAAAACAACTATAAATAAACAAGTGAATTCATTAGTGTCACTGGGAAACGTTTAATAACCTTAAAACTGTAGAATAGTACTCCATTTTGTCATAAACAATTCTCAAAATCATTTCTTTTATTATTTACACTAAATTTTCAAGAGATTTATGTAAATATAATATTAAAAGATCTAATTTTGATGCGAATCCAATAATAAGAATGACATTTTAAATAATATATTATCTGAATTTCTTCAGAAAAATGTGATTTGGACTATTGGATGCATTGTTTGAGCTAAAAAATTATTAACTTGTTAGTCTTAATCTAAGTAAAAATCTGCCTTTTCAAGTATTTAAATATATTGTATGTAATTATTTTCAAGTATTTAAATATATTGTATACAACTATTTTCAAGTATTTAAATATTGTATGCAACTATTTTCAAGTATTTAAATATTGTATGCAACTATTTTCAAGTATTTAAATATTGTATGCAACTATTTTCAAGTATTTAAATATTGTATGCAACTATTTTCAAGTATTTAAATATTGTATGCAACTATTTTCAAGTATTTAAATATTTTATGCAACTATTTAATGACTTTTTGCCTAAAAAGGTTAGATGAACCTTTTTTGCTGTTAGGCTTATCACCAAAAAAAAAAAATTGCAACTAAGTGACTGGGGATAGTTAATAGTTCTTGCAAGCATATTTCCAAAAATAAAATAATACATAAAAACTAATTAATTTAATTTTTATCAAATTCTTTATAAAATGAGTAATTTTATAAGATAGTAGTTTTAAGATATTTATTATTTCTAAATATAAATTTTTTTTTGAATTCTTTAATTTTTGAATCCTTACACATACAAAGTAGAAATTTCTACTACAAAGAAAGATATGAGATATTTCTAACATATTTCTGTTTGTTTTTTTTTAAATTAATATACTTATACAATTTTTAAAATTTATATTATTGTTAAAAAAAGTATATATATGAAAATAAAATATTTATAAAAAAAGCTTTTTTTTATAAAAATGTAAACTTCTTTTTTTTAATATTAGAAATCTTTTCAATGTCTGAGGGCTGCTAGAAACCAAATGTATTAACAACACATTTAGGGGGTGCCCACCAACATTTAGGAGTGTCCACTAAAATTATTATAAACAAACGTTTTATGAATTACACTAATGAATAGGTTCTTGTTTTAGAGTTAAATGGTAAAACAAAACAAAATATATGTATACATACATAAAAAATATATATACTTGCATGTTGCAAGTCAATAGAAGCAAATTTGAGATCTGGAGTTTTACATAAATTTATTTTATTTACAATACACAATATATGTACACAACTTATGTTACTTTGTACAAATTAACTTATATTACATAAAGACAAATACGAATATATCTACATGTCTAATGTTTACATAATTTATATCTACGGCTTTATAATGAAATTGTCTATGGTTCATATTTCATATTAAAACATTTATTTTAAAACTTACCATTGTCAAGTTTTACAAGCCGTGTAGCAGGATTTTCACCTTAAAAAAAAAAAAAATTACAAATTAAAAAAGTAATAATAATAAAAAAGATTGCTATTGTTAAAAATAAAACGCAAAACTTTAAGAATTTTTTATAAAACAAAAAAATTTACCAAACATAAGTTATATAATTTTTTAACATAACTTTTTAAAAATAAAATATAATTTCAGTAAACTATTTAAAAAAATCAAAACTTAATTTATATGCTAAAAATTTCAAACTTTATCAATAAATATACCCGACGGGCATTTGTTTTTAAAAGTTACGTTCTAAATGTGTTTTAAACGTCTTTTAAACGTCTTTTAAACATTAATGTCTAAAAGACGTTTAAAAGACATTTAAAATACATTTAGATCATAACTTTTAAAAACAAATGCCCGTCGGGTAGGGTTTTACTCTATGAACTGTTTGTGACTTGATTCAATACGCTATCGATTCTATTTGACCCAATCAACTTGAAACATTTGTAATTGATGCATGTCTCTTTTATAAAGATTTGAGACTATTTGAAATCATTATAAATAAAAAATCTTTGATTAAGGAACTTTTTTAAAGATGGTTAGAAATTGGTCATGTTAAAGCAGATAATAATTAAAGAAACATTGTTAACACAAGTTTTTTAAAGGCGTTAAACATAATCTGGAAAATGGCAACGGTTTCAATATTTAAAAAAATCCTTTATTAACAAAATTTATCAAGAAAAATTAAATTCCTAAAAACCCCTTAACATAGTACACTCATCTTTTTCAAAAGAACAACTCTCTAGAAAACAAATATTTTTTTCAAGAAACTGATACAAAAGATTTTGCCTGTTGCTAAGCTCTCTTCAAAAATGTTAATAATAAAGTCATTTATTGTACATGAATCTGATTTTCTTATTGCTCTCAAGGAATTATTTGCAAAGAATGATTCTCTTGTTTTCTTTTATTTGCAAAGAATTATTCCTCTCTTGTTTTCTTTTACTTGCAAAGAATGATTCCTCTCTTGTTTTCTTTTATTTGCAAAGAATGATTCCTCTCTTGTTTCCTTTTAAACCAAATAAAAATATTCTTTTAGTCATTCTGAAGAAACATGTTAATCTAAATCTTCTGCTGCTATATTTATTTCTTACTTAAACTACAGCTTGTAATTGGTTGCTTGTGGTTCCAACAACAGTCCTGTCACAGTCTTATATATTCTAGAATACTTTTTTTTATAATTTTCTAAACATCAAACTGGTGTAACAAAATCTTGTTTTCCTTCCTGTTGGAAAATGGTATTTGTTCACTTTCATGCTCTTAAGTTCTTTTTATTTGTTTTCTGTTGACTTCCTAAACTAGTGGTTGCTTGGTAACTACTTAACTAGTGGTAGCTTGGTAACTACTTAACTAGTAGAAGCTTGTTGAAAGTAAGTTTTAAAAAAATAATAATAATAAACTGGATAAATAATAGATACCAATCATTTCAAATGCAAATTAGAAAAGAATCAATTGGAAAATGTTATTATTTCTATTGGTCAAACAAACTTATACAAAATTACTGTTCACGAGTCCTGTATTATGTAAACTTTATTTCTCATGCCAAAAAGTTTTAGAAGTTTAAAAACATTTTAAAATGTATTTCTAGGATTGAAGAATTAAATAACTTGCTACTATAGAAATAAATAAAAAATTAATGAATTTTTAATGCAAGCAGATGTAAAAGTATGCATTTTTATATAAGAAAATTCAAGTGAATTCTTTTATGTTGAAATGCTTATAGAATTTAATTAAGAAAAAGTTTGGAACTTTTTTCTTTTTTCACAAACAAACATAACAAAAAGCATTAAAAGTATATCAAATATCTTGTCAAGATATTTGATATAGATTTGTTAGATATTTTATTTTGGTCATAGCACTGAGAAAGAGCATTTAACCAGGACCTCCTTTCTTATTAATGTCATTTATTTGGCCAGATTTAGCATTGGTTTGGAATTTCCTAATATGCATATTAGCATTTTCTTAATATACATTTGAAATCATTTGAAAGATTCTGCAGAAGGAGAAAATATGAATTGTATTGGAGATTGTTGTAAAATCCAGACATTTTTAATGTTTCAAATGCATTAAGAAAAGTTAGAAAAACTGATAGAACCATCGAGTAGGAAAAAAAACCTCAAAGTTGAAAATCAATTCCTCAAAAATTGTTCAAAACATCGTTTTAAAACAGATTCAGTTGTTCAATTTTTAAATTATAAAAATAAAGCTCAAATATTAAACAAGTGCAATCTGGTGAAACTTTGGAAAGCAAAAAATAATCAAAAAATCTTGTATACTTTGCCACTGTAACATTAGCTGATCCCAGTTTTAGGGAAAATATTACATTAGTAGTGAGAACACATTCAAGCTTAGGTAATGTATACAATACAGTACTTAATACAGAATTAACTTAATTTGAAGAAATTTTGAAACATAAAGATGCAGGTAACATGCATATAATCAAGTGGAACATGATTAAGAGATGCCATACAACTTTTCCATAAAAAAGTGTAACCTTTGTCTTTATAAAAAATATTTTATTATGACTATTGGTCAAGGATCGAAACAAAATGAACTGAACAAAAAAAGTAAATTGGTTTCTGCATGTAGGCGTATAAACTTTTTTTTTACTCTCACTTTGATGCCGCCAATTAGCAAATATCAGATCACATAAATTTGATGTCAGATGCCATTGCAACACTAAACTTTATTGTAACTGTTTTTATTTTAAATGGCAAATGGTATGAAACTTCCATAATAAAGTTAAAAAAATTTTTTTGAATTATTTTATTACATTCTATTTCTGACAGAATACAACATATATCAATACATCTATATCTATCTATCTACCTATCTATCTATATATCAGAGCTGTGTAGTCGGAGTCGCAGAGTTGCGACAATTTTACCGGAGTCGGAGTCGCTAAAAAATATCTCGACTCCGACTCCGATAGTAAAATTTTTTGGTATTGCACATGCATGTACAAAACATTCAATTAACCTTATGTTCATACTAAACAATAAAGAATGTTTCATAAATTTGTCCAAAAAAAAATTTCAACTTACCGGGCAACATTTTTTAAAGAATTCAAAGAATTTTTCAAAAATTTTGCTTTGGAGTTGGAGTCGGAGTCGAAGTTGTACTCAAAAAATTTCAACAACTGGAGTCGGAGTCGTTACTTTTTTTTTACGACTCCACACCCCTGCTATATATATATATATATATATATATATATATATATATATATATATATATATATATATATATATATATATATATATATATATATATATATATATTGCTCCGTGCACGTGAATCACGCCCATAAATGGCCTTCTGGGAGCGACATAGAGTGCTCGCTAGTTTCGTTATGACAGTAAAAAATTATGCTTGTCTGAAGAAATTGTGAGGGAGAAAATTTTATTAAAGTTAATTTTAAAGAAAATATTTTTTGGTAAAATTATTTTGTTGAAGTCAAAATATCTTTAAACAGTAGAGTTTGCATATTTTTAAATAAAGGAACTATTTTTGTAACAAAGTACATCATGCATAACTTATGCTTAATTTACTTTAATTTTAATTTATGCAGCATAAAGTTCAAATTAAAAATTTTTTATTTCTTCTGTTTAAAAGCTATATTCAGCATGTTTTTTTTTAAATTTCAGTTGAACTTTATCATATTATCCGCTTAATCATACCCTGGTTAAGTCAAACCATTCGCCAACTCATACAGTTTATTACTGTCCATTTGACAAAAAACTTCGCTTAACTAGAATTTTTACTTTGAATGTGTTTAACTGTGTTTAATATACTTTGAATTGCTTTAAAGTCAATGTAGTAAAATAACAAAACTTCTATGAATTCAAATGTTGAAAAATTAAATATCTAGCGTCATATTTATAAATATATAATTAGAAATAAATATCTAGCATAAAGAATTTATCAAAATAAAACTTCACTTATAGCTTCGATTTCGTGCAGGTTTAATCACATTCTATTAATTAATGACTAAATTTAAAAACATCAAAACGTTGAAACATCATATAATTTTTGTCAAATATAAGTTAATAAACTAAGTATTTTCACTGGTATCTTCGAATCAGTTAAGCTTATATTAAAGCCAATTTATTAAAAAAGTTAAAGCTAAACAAACTAAAACTTAAAAAAAAAAAGTTTCAATAAACAATATGTAAAACAAATATATTTGTTATACAACTTTGAATAGACCTTCTCACAGTTCCGATAATTTAGTGCGCGCAAACATTTAACAGTACGTCATTGTTCCTTGTGCGCAGAATCGCATGAAAGAAAGTAAATACACAAATATATTATGAAAGCATTCTTGAAAGAAACAGTTGTTTACATGAGATTTCTTTACTTTTATTCATAATAAAAGTATCGATTTTGAATTATTTAACTTTATTTTAACTATTTAAAGGCTAAATTTATATTATTTATATATTCATACTTTTTATATGTTTGTTTTATAGGATATATATGAAAGAAATAAAAGCTCTTAAAGAATACTCTTTATCTTTTGCATTTCACACATTTCGAGTGTCAAAACTTTTACACTCAACGTACAAATTTGTTTTTTCCTTGATTACAAATATTATATAACAAAAACATATAAACAGTATAGATTTTAAACTTAAAATGGGTAAAATAAACTTATATTAAACTAAACCAATGTCTTTTTAAAAAAAAATAAAAAAAATCTCATGTAAACAACTGTTTCTTTCAAGGTTTACTATCTTAATTTATATGAGTATTTACTTGTTATATATATATATATATATATATATATATATATATATATATATATATATATATATATATATATATATATATATATATATATATATATATATATATATATATATATATATATATATATATATATATATATATATATATGGGGCAACAATCTTTTCTTTCATTATTCTTTCTTCTAAAAAAATATTGATCATTTTTAGGCAGACAAAAGTTGTATTTCCAATAGAATACAACATATTTATTTCCAATAAAATACAAAACTCACTTTAAATGGATACACTCAATATCAAGTATATTAATGAACTATTATAAAAATAAAAACTGTTTTATGACACAAACTGTTATAGAAATAAAACTGTTATATTATACAAACTGTTATAAAAATAAAACTGCTATATTATACAAACTGTTTCAACTGATAAAACAATGTTTTTTTTTTAAAAAAAAAAAACAACTTAAAAAGTTACTCTTAACTATTTAATTACTTAATTAATTTTACTATTGTACCTATAAGTAATCACAGGTATATACATTTCGATGTTTATTGACAGAATTTGCTTAAAAAGTAAAATTGCTATCACCTTACATCTGCTATTTTACATCTTTACCTTAATTCCCTTTGAGAAATATACATCTCTACCCTACCTCCTAAATATTTTGTGCAGGTTGAGATACACCTCTTTCGTAACTTCAACATATTTTGGGGAGGTGTTCACTATTTTATGATCACTTTTTTTATTTTAATTTTTTTTTTAATTTTAAAAAAATAGAGGAAAAATTACCTTTAAAAAAATTCTTTAACAAAATGGAATGAGAATCAATGACATCTTTTCCTTTTTTGTCACTTTTCACTTCCAATATCAAATAAATACATGGTGAAATTCCAACATCTATTTTTAACTAAATAAAATGATTTAAATTAGCACAAAACAAATCATAACTATAAAAAAAAAATCTAAACATATAACATTAAAAATCTAAACATATAACATTAAAAATCTAAACATATAACATTAAAAATCTAAACATATAACATTAAAAATCTAAACATATAACATTAAAAATCTAAACATATAACATTAAAAATCTAAACATATAACATTAAAAATCTAAAAATATAACATTAAAAATCTAAACATATAACATTAAAACTCTAAACATATAACATTAAAAATCTAAACATATAACATTAAAAATCTAAACATATACCATTAAAAAAAAGTACAACATAAAAAAGAAGTCAAAAGCAAACAGAATATTCCTAATACTCTTTATAAAATATTCTTGTCAACAATAACATTGTAAAACAAAAAAATATTAATTTGACACAAAAATAAGGCAGTTAAGTATTTTTTGTTTAATTTTTAATAAAAATAAATTTAAAAATAAATTAAAATAAAAATGTTTTTAGCAATTCAACAAAGCTTTTTGTTAAAAAACATCTTATGCTCTTTAACAAAAAATCAAAGATTGTTAGTCCAAATTGAAAGTTTTTAACAAGTTTTTAACCGTTTTAAGATTTGCTGCAAAGTTTACATTAAAAATTTTCAAAAGATCTCTACTTATTTTTTTGTTTATCAAAACTACCTATGTGTTCTGTTTATAAAAACTACCTATGTGTTCTGTTAATAAAAATTATAATAATAAACAGTACAAAGAAGTAATAAAAAAATTACAAATAGAGAACCTGAAACTTTTCATTAACTTGTATAATAGAATCAGTTTGAAGATTTGGTGTTCGGCATAAAACTCTATCTGTTCTATTTAATATACTTCTTTTTGAAAGTGGCTGAAACTTTGCATGTCTAATAGAGAAAAATAAAAATTATAAATAAAAAAAAAATTTCTTAAACTTCATTTCAAATTTAATAAATATTATACTATTTAATATAACCTAACAAAATAATACCTATCTAATCTTAGCTTAACATATACCTCGTTGATATCTATATAAAAAAAACAACATATATATAATATGTACATCATTTATAATTAAAAAAATACATGATGTGATGGTTGTGTATGCAGGGATAAACACAATAACCAACGCACAGACACAAGCAAATAATACAGGAAAAATAGAACTATGAGCTAAAATTTTAAAATTCAACAACAACAAAAAAAACCTACCATGATTTATCATTAAATCACTAACTTCAAGAATCTCCCCATATAGCCCATAATACTTCAGGGGTTCACCTGAGAGATCAACAAGTCCAGCATCATCTAAAAAAAGATTATTATGGAATAACTTTATTTTAAATGTTTGTGGGTTTTGTTATTCTTAAATGAATAGAAAAACCCAAGTAATAAAGAATTTTTTTAATAAAACTTTGTTATTTATGCAGATGCTTACGCATCTGCATAAATAATTTTCTATATTATTAAAACACGCATGTATACATATATAACCAGTAACAAGTATATAGATAAAGGCAGAGAAAAAGACATAAAAATATATTTATGCTGTAAGATTCAAAAAAAAAAAAAAGGATTGGAGACATCTCTTTAGAATTGTATCCTTGATGCCTTTATCAAGTTAAAAAAAAGCCGAGTTATACACATCGTTATAATTGACATAAAACAAATTTCATTACTAGGCATGCAAAAGATAAAACCCAAATTTACAGCAATAGTATTTTTATAATAATAATAATAATAATAATAATAATAATAATAATAATAATAATAATAATAATAATAATATATATATATATATATATATATATATATATATTTACATACTTATGCATACATTATCACATATATCAGGGATGAAACCAGATGTATTTTGGTATTGTTGGTGCATGGTCAATTCTGAATTGCACAAATTTTATGACACCAAAAATTATTTCATTTTTACTTAATTATTTACTATTTATAAAAACACCTAAAAATTATTAACTACTTTGTTGTCAATAAAACTATTTTAAAAAAGAGATTTCATAGAAGGATAAAGACCTGGTTACAAATCCGGTACTAAGAAATTTTCTGTTTACTTTAGCAAAAGCATTATTTTATCAGAAGAATGATAGATTAAAAAATTTGCACTCTATAATATAACTAAATAGTTATACAACAATATTGTTATATATCAATAAAATAGTTATATAACAATAAAATAGTTATATAGCAATATTGTTAGTTTATAAACTGAATGATTTTAAAAGAAATAAAAAATTTATCGAAAAAAATTTAGAGAAACTCAATTTAATTAAAATGAAATTCATCACAAATTAGCTTTCAAAAAAATAGAACAAATCAAAAAAAAAATGCAAAGTTTGTCAAAATTAAGCATTTAGCATATGTATCAGAAAGCTCCTTATAGTTCATAATTTTTTATAGATGTAATTATAATAACTCCTTATAAGTCATAATATCCTTTTTCATAGATTTTTTATTTTAAAGGTTTTTTTTCAGAGATAATCTTTTTTTTCAGTGACCTTTGGTTAGAGTTTTAACAAAATGTTTATTGGTTTTAATATAAAATAAACATTTTATTTGATTAATAAAAAATTTATTATTCACCTTCTTTATTTATATTTAATTAATTCATATTTATTTATTAATTATATGTGATGAAATATTCTATAACACCTGACTCCAATTTTCTCACGATGTAGAAAAGCTCAGAATGACCTACAATTAATGTCACTACAACTGTATGATTAAACAATAAATGACTGTTTGTCGCCAAAACCTATGGCATCAAAAACAACAATAAATGATAGCTTGTCATAAAAACCTAAAGCATCAAAAAAAAAATTATATATTGCAAAAAAATATCTAAAATATGACACTCAAAATTTGAGCTTTACATATTTCACAGTTGTCTCTAAGTATTTAAATTGTGAATAAAATAAAACAAATGTAAATAATGTTAATTAAACAATAAAAAGTAACAATGGAGGAAAGTTACTTAATTAAAAAAAAAAAATTTCTGGCTTTGTAAATAAAACTTTTAAAAATTTCAGTAACAACACCATAACACCAAGTATAAGAGACAAAAGTATAAGAGACTATACAAAAGCATAAGAGACAATACAAGTCACTTTTTAAGTTTGTAAAGTTGTTGTTTTTTATAATTATTTATTAGTTTTCAAAATTTATAATTTTATTTTGTTTAATAGTATTTAACCAAGTTTAACCTACTTAGTTAAGTAACCTACTAGTTAGTTTAACCGTAGTTTTGGATTTAAAAAATAAACTTAAAAGTCAAATAGTACAAATGGAGTAATGCTTACTACAGCTAGAATGTCTGACTTGAATATATGTGGTAGTAGTGTAGTGATAAAACAGTTTATAACGTACAGCAACATCTCTATTAAACTTAGATACAACTTTGAGGAGTTCATTGATACCTTCATATTGTGAGACAATTTTGCTGGGCATGACACTATCACTGCTGTTTCACACAATCAAAAAGAGTGCATGACATTACAAGTTTAGTGAAAAAAAAATTCTGCATACAAAGCTTTTTGTTTACTATTGCTTATCTATCTTTGTATTTTTTATTCCAGCTTATGGCGGGGATTTATAATTGTTTTTCCATTGTATGATGGAGATTACTATTTTTTTATTTCAGTTAATGATTGAGATTTCTATTTTTTATTCCAGTTTATGGTGGAGATTTCTATTGTATGAGAATATTTTATCTAGCTAACAATCTAACAATCATGTACAACATACAAATATTCTACTAATAACAGCTTGGAACCTTATCAATCTAAATGAAGTAGTGTTAATATAATATTAAATATAATATTTTGTTATTGTTTAGAAAAAACTTGGATTTTGATTGCTTTTTTGGCATGCATAGTAGTCAGGTTTTATAATGATATTAACATGATGTTAGTTACAAACAATAACTTGAATGTTAGTCTCCATGTAATAGAGATTAAAACTGTAAACATTAAAAGCGTTCAGAAACAATTATTAAAATAATAAAAAAAAGATAGATAATATGAAAAGCAATTATCAACACTCTAAATCAATCAACATAATGAATTACCTTTATGACAGACTTCATCATCAATGTTAGCAAGATGGTCACAAAAAAATTCATCTTTATCTGCATTTTCATCTTCACATAACATTTCATCTAACTTTATCTTTTCATCTAAAACTAGGTATTCATCATCTAAAAATAACACAAAACAATAACAAAACAAGACTCAACCACTAAAAACAAAACAAGTAAAATCAAATAAACAAATATTTATACAACTATATTATCAAATAAAAAAATAATTCCTTTATTACATTACTTTAATTACATTACTTTAATAATAAAAATAATACAATAAATATCAAGAAAATGATACAATAAACAACAATAAAACAATAACAAGTTCTATAAAGTTTCAACAATTTTTAATTTTAACTAGAAAAAACAAAAATACCATTTAAAAGACCAGTCCCATTATCAAAAGAATAAGTAGAAAAATGCCGTCCATCTACATCATTGTAACCACACACCTCATGAGGATTGTTGTCCACAGCAACATTATTAACTTTTTTCTTAAAAATATTGTTACACAATGTTAAAACAGTAGTTGTTTTGAAAGGGCTTTTATGCTTCTTTTTTTTTATGCTTAAATTTACATGTAAAAAATAAAAACTTTTTGAAAAGATTACAACACAAAATTTATCAAATAATTAAAAATCGTAAAATAATAAACAAATAATAAAAAATAACAAAATAACATATAAACATATAAAAGTAAAATAACACAATATAAAATAAAAGTTTACAAAGTTTATAATAAGTTTTTAAGATTTTATGAAAAAGACCAATAAATAGTTTGTTTTACTCTAAGCAAGTAGGTTGTCTCTTGGAAATAAAGCAAGTAGATTGTCTCTTAGAAGTCAAGCAAGTAGATTGTCTCTTAGAAGTCAAGCAAATAGGTTGTCGCAATTATGTAAATGACAATTTCCTTCAACTTGACTATTGAAGTTTTGTAGTTAAAAGTGCAAATGCAGTTTTAACTACAAAGCTTAGTTAAAACTGCATCTGCACAATTTTAGCTTTCTATCACATTAAAAAAATCATCTAACATACATTGAAAACCAATCAATACCAAAACACAATTTTTTATTGTTTCGAATTAAACAATATCACAGAACACAACTTTGTAAAAAACCAATATATCAGAACGCAACTTTGTGAAAAAACAACATAGCAGAACACAACTTTTCACTTTGTGAAAAAAAAGTAGTAATAGTTTATTATGAACCTTTAAAACAAGCAACACAAAATAAAGACACAAAAGGGATTTTAAATAGAAAAAGCATAATTTAAGCTAAACTCATGTAATTCTAGTTTGTAAAACTTGTATGTATATAAAATTATATTGTATATAACATAAATAATAAATTGATTAATAATTAATAAAAATAATAGTAATAAACAATAATAATAAAATAAAATAATAAAAAGAATAATAACAACAACTTCATATTTATTTATTATCATGATATTAATCACATTTTATTTATTATCATCACCTATGAAAAACAAAACAAATTATATAAATTAGCTAAAAACAAAATAAGTCGAATAAAAAAAAAAATTAAATAATTATAAAAATTTCAAGTAACCTCTAACCCTTCGACTTTAAAACTCAGTTGAATTTCACCAGATTTGGACTTCTCAAGAGTGAACCAATGCTTTGAGTCTAAACCACCTTCTCCTAAATTCAATAAGTCTTCATAACGAAATTGAACTACTCCCATCTTTTCCTGAGTAAAAGGATCTTTATCCCATACCTCAATGTAGAGAATCTGATGACGTTGAGGCATGGCCATTGTAACTTGTTCATTCCAGACAGGATTCAAAGTGCGGTAAATAATTTTTGTCTTATACTTTTCATTTTTTAAATCACCCACCCGAACAATTACAAATGGATCACTTCTTCCTTTAATAAGTTAATAATTTAAAATTTAAAATTTTTAATAAAACTTGTTATCTCTAAAAAATCTTTTGATTAAAAAAAAAAAAAATAACAAAAAAAAAAAAAAAAAGCACAATAAACTATTCACCATTCATATCAAAGGCAACAAGTTTGCGAGCACGATAAATGCCAATTGTTAAACTTCCTCTTTCTATAAAATTAAAAAAAAAAAGATATATAGAAAACAATTTTTGGTTATAATATTAAAAAAAAATTGAATAATTAAAAAATACATATATTTTTGTTCTAAAAACATTATTGACGCTAAAAAAAAAAGTTTTTAATACACCCAATAAGATTTTTTACCATAAAACTTTACAAATAAATAATATTAAATATAGCCATAATAACAATGTTTTGCAAATTTTACATTTGGTTAAAACTAAAAAAACTACTATGCTTTGCTACTGTTTCTTCTCTAAATTGGAGAGTGAACATTATTTGTGAACATTGAACAATAAACAGTGGTCTAGAAATATCACATTTGAGGCGAAAATCACATATTTGTCATTTTTGAAGTTAACACTGAAATTTTTGGTGAATATTCATTATACCCAAGTCTATTACAATTATTATTGAAATTCGCTATACCACCCCTCTAATGGACACACCAATGACACAAAACCAACGACAAATGACATAGGAATAGATATTTTGTTTTCTAGTAACTCCCAGCCTGATAGTGGTTGTTTGCAGCTTTATTGGGAGTAAATTAGAATAAAAAAATGTGACATATTTCATACTTAATTTTCAATGTTGTATTAATTATAAATAGTCACCATGCATGTATGATAAATTTTTGTTTGATTGGATAAATATCATACATATGCAGAACACCAAGAACATAGTGAAACAAACCATTTGACACACTTGTTTTTATATATTTATTTTAACAGACATATTTCCTAAGAACTTTTAACTGAATAATCTCCAGACATATGTTTTATGAAATTTTTCTAGACAATATAAACAGGAAGAGTATCATACCAAGGATAATGCCAAGGACACAAAGTAACAATAACAACAGATTTTTCAAAGATTTTAAGAACAATAATTTTTTTCAATATTTATAAATATAAGACATTTTTACTAAACTGAACTTTTTAAACAATATTATTATTAAGGACTTAAGTAAGAAAAAAAATACCAATGAATCAAATATTTTGAACATCTTTATTTCTGCTTTCCCAAGCTTCTTCAGATAAGAGGTTAATTAGAACTGGCTCATCTCTTACAAACTGGGGTTAAATCAACAATTATTTTGTGAATACCAGTAGGCATTGGTTACGTAATAAAACATGATACATATTTCTTAAAAAGTTATACAAGAAAACAAAAAACTTTAATCTTAAACACAACTTTAATTTAAAGACAGAAATCAGTTACATCAATACATATGCTACAGTAAATCTCTTATATTGAAAATCTAATGAATATCTTTTTTTCTTACCATTTTCTTGCCTTTACAGATGCAAATTAGTTGATAACATTTTTCCAAATTAATTGAACTGTTATTTTTGCCTCAATAGCAAATAGGCTTAGTGCAGGCTAACAGTCTTTTTCCATCATTATTCTTAAATGTGTTTTAATTCTTTTTCTTTTGTACTAAAAGATCTTTTTGCAGCTGCCTCTCTAACAGGAATTATTGTTTAGCTATGTTTATTACAGATAACAGGCTGCAATTATATCAGTGAATGAGCAACTTATATCACAATATGTTATTCTAAACACAAATAAAATACAAAAATGCAGAAATTTTCAACATACAAAATGCATGAAAAAGTGTGGAAAATTGCTCCTTATCTTGAACTACTGCTGTCCCAACCCAAATATTTAGTCAATCTAGCCCGCTATTTTGCATGTTATGTATAAATCAGTCAATGTATGTACTAAAGGCCCTAACCTTATTTCCGCAGTTTATTCCTGCACTTTACCCAATGAAAGTTTCTGCATTTTACCATAGCTTTATTATTGCTAACAATTAGGGCAAATCTGAAATACTGTCTACACCATTAATCTCCATTTTTAACATTTGGAAAAAGAAGTTTGCTCATTGCAAAGTCCTTGCATATTTTTTCTAAAGCAAGTAAGTTATTGATTAAATAAAACTTTTTTATAATTATCATAAACAATCATAGCAATAGTAAAAATTGTTGCTGATGTGTTTATATACATGCATATCCTTTTTTACAGGGCATTTTTTTGAAATTTTTTGAGCCCTTAACAACTCTGGTCCCCTTGGCTGCGTAACACTATCTGGTTGCACGATATCTGGTTGAGGAAGTTTTGGGATTAGTCCCTAGAATAACATCGGTTTCCTGTACCTTAAGTTGTACAGGTACTGTACACAAACACAGAATACAGAATTAGAGAGACATCAATTGGAACTGGCAATCTGTTCTCAAACATCAAAACCATTTTTGCATATAAAAAGTGCACCATAAGGCTCAGATAGTTTGGATTTATCCATGATTTTTCAAAACCTATTTTTAGTGTGATCCATTACTTTTTGAAGATTTGCAGAAGCTAGTTTTTAGTTTGAGGCAATAATTCCAGAATTGGGAATGCATTCATTTTTAGCTTTAACAATATAATTGTAGGCAGGATATAACATCCTTGTTTTGAGATTTTATTGCTTAACGGAAAAGCGTAATGTAAGTAACAATAAAAATATTTACATACGTCAGATGCATTTTAAAAACTGCATTGCAATTAAATTTAATTTGAAACCACATTAAAAAACATTTAAAGTCTTTATTTTATAAAATTTTTATAAAGTATAAATTTTTTAAAATTAAACTTTAAATTAAACAATATAAAAAAAAACAATAAAACTTAAAACTATTGTTTGAAAAAATAATTTTTTATTTCATTTAAATAACTTATTTAAACGCTATTTATTTCTCAAAATACTATTGTCTTATTTTTACTTTCTCGTAATTTAATTTTTTTTTTTTTCTAAAAGGCGGCGATTGTTGAATTTTTTAATAGTCAAAAAAACTATCAAGATTATTTGTTTTTTAACATTTTTGCTTTTCATAAACTACTTAAAATCTTCTCATAAACTACTTAAAAACTAGTTAATCATTTCTAATCAACCTCTAATCTATGATCAATCTAAAAAATTAATGATAAAGAAAAATCTTATGTTAAAAATCAATTTCAAAACCAAAAAAAATCATCTTTTCATAAATTTGTTAAACTAAGTTTACAAAAAATATTATCTTAATATTTTTAATAAACCTAATAATTTAGCATACAGGCTTGATTATGGTTTATTCTGCAACACATTTATAAACAGTAAAAAATAAATTTATATTAAATTTAATTTTTTTTAATATTCTAATTGAAAAAAGTTTTGCTGTAACATAAATGGCCTAATGCATGGGTGAAATCGCCATTTTGCACTTAAAACTTGAATGGTGTAACACTTCTTAACAAGGCCTGTAACATGCAACTTTTATCTGAGACCCTTGACATATAGTTTGCTAGTCAACTTGACATATAGTTTGCTAGTCAACTTGTTCTACAGTCTTGAACTAGACTACTAAAACTAAAAACTACTTCTGCTTTGAATTGAGCAGAATAATTTAATAACTAATAGTTTAATAACTTAATCATTAACTTTTTTGTCTACCTATTTCACTCCTTTATTTAAAAAAAAAAATTTATAAATTTTTCAGTTAAACTAAAAGGGTTGTGCTTAGGATTAAAACTAAAAGGATTGTGGGAAAACATTCAGAATTCAATATAAGAATTTTGATTTTTGCTTATTCACTAATTAAATTTACACATTTACTTTCATTTTATTTTTTAAATAAGTCTAAAATTCACTGAAAAATCATTGTTCTTCATATTAAAACTCAAAACAAATTATTTATAAACAAAATATTATCATACAAATTGTTTGGTTTTCGGTGAATATTTCGATTATTCAAGATCTTTAACTTTTATTTACTATGATTCTAAAATATTTTGCTGCTCATTTTTGTGGTTGAAACAAAAAAAAAAACATTAATTTAAAACAACACAAGTCAAAGAGGGAAAGAAAAAGTCCAAACACAATGCATTTTAATGCATTGTGTTTGGACTAACTCTATAGTTACAAAAGCAAAATTAATTTTTGCTGTTAAAAAACTTATTTTTTTGAACTTCAAATTTTCCTTTTTTAACATTCAAATAATTTAAAGACCTTGAAAATTTAAATCTGGTTTACATATCACTTATAATTCAATTTTAGGACTTAATTTTGAAAATTTATGACTTTTTTTTTTTTTGCATTTATGTTGTAGTCCTGGTCCACTGTGCAATGCCCTAATACCATGGCTTATCTCTCTGTATTCAGACTTTTAATCATTAGACCATGGTCAAATTATTTCAAGTCTCTTGACATAACTAAGTAAATTAAGTTTTGGTTAAAAACTAGAGAAAAATTTAATTTTTATTAGAATTTTTCATACATGACGTATTTTGTGTTCCCACAATTTTTTATGTGAAAAAATAATATAACAAATAACATATAAGAGCAACAAAACATTCTGTAACTTAAAATGAGAATTTTATTTTCTTTGCTTACAGATTAAGATATATTAAGAAATATATCATATAAACAAATGTATTTATGATTAATGGTCATAGTATATATTTTTATATTGTTAAAAAAATAGTCATAAAATAAAATATATTGTATATATTTGAATAAATCAAATGCATTGAAACAACATAAACAGTCACAACCAATGGAAGAGAATCTGGAGCGCATTCCTCAAATGTAAATCATTTGGTTGGCTATTTTATTTTTTTTAATTATTCACCTCCCCAAGGCCAAGGAAGTTATAACAGTCGAGGAGGCTACTTTTTGTAGTTACAACCCTCTCTCAACTCTAAAACTCTGAAACACGAACCCCGAGGAGCAAGGAAAGTTATATATACATATATAATTTATATATGTATATACATATTATATATATATATACATATTATGTATATATTAGGATGACAAGCAAAATATATATATATATATATATATATATATATATATATATATATATATATATATATATATATATATATATATATATATATATATATATATATATATATATATATATATATATTGTGCCATTTTCTTACTTCTAATTCCGTTCTCAACATTAAACTTCTTATTTAATAGCATCATACTTTTATTATTTATCATCATTTAGATTATATTATTATTTAGCTGGATTATATGATCAATTTTTTTAATTGAATCATTTATTTCAGAAACCTGTCAAGTACACTTTTTTAACTTTTTAAAAAGCTAAAAAAAAACTTAAAAAATAGAACTCATAGAAAAACTTAAAAGTTCATGTGTTTTGCATGAGAGAGTGTAATTAAACTGGACCATCTATAATAATATCACTTTTGAAAAAAATGTCATTTGACAGGTTCCTGATTCAATTATGATTAGAATTATTTTGTTGGTATTTTGTGTATGAATGTAAAAACCACCATCACATTTAACACTATCGCACCACCTTGCTGTTTCAAGTGACAATAGTAAAGAAGACATTCTTTTTTGTTTTTTCTTTTTATCATACTTGCTGTTATCTTACAACACTTGGTTTATTCTCTACCTCTAAAAATCTCTTATTGATCCCTGTACGGAATACTGTAGTCATAATTGGGCTGTTAAATAAAGTTAAAAAAAATAAAGTTCTTCTAATGATGCTTTTTCTCTTCTAGAAAAGGTCCAAAAATGTATTGTAAACATAGTTAGATCCACTCTATCTGCTAAGCTTGAGACTCTCATCGTCATAAAGTTGAATCTCTTTCTCTTTTCTACAAATACTATCATGGTTGCTGTTTAAAGGAGCTATCATCTTTAGTTTCATCAACTAAAACTCATTCTAGCTTGACGAAGAGTCAATTCAGCAAAGTCACATCCTTTTAATATATCTGTCTTTGCATGCTCTAAAAACTTTTATTTGTCTGTTTTTTTTCCTAACGCTTCAACTTTTGAAATTCTCTCTCATCATGTTTTCCTGACTCAGACAACCTACAACTTATCGAGTCTTCTGTCAACTGTTTCCTTGCTCTATAACTCAATTCATTTTTTTTTTCTAGTAACTCTCCACTTAACAGTGGTTGCTTGCAGCCTTGTTAGGAGCAAATCAGAATTTAAAAAAAGTACAACAACTTTATTATCACCAGAAATTTACATTTCCTAGAGTTTACTTGAACTTGCCTTTTGATTCTGTTGCCTTATAAAACACCCCCATTTGTTGGCAAATGTAATTTGGAAGCTCTGAATAAGGTCTCTCTTTGGATTATCTATCAAATTATTAACTATTTTTTCTACATCTTTAAATTTTCTTTTTTTACAACTTTACCTTTTTCATCTGTAGTACAACTTTTTAATTTTTAGAATCCCATTGTTTTATTGGTTTTGAAACTTTTGAATCTTACTAATTTATTGATTGGTTTGTTGGATTAAAATCGTTTTAATTCTATAAGGTTACAACTATTTTATCATAAATTTGATTTTAAAATAAAATTAATTGTGATACTTTGTACCTGAGCATAAAATTGCTTCCATTGTAACGGCATCAATTTTAGTGCGTTTCTAAACAAAACATAAAAACATAAAAAGATTTGTGAGAAATAATGTTATCAAAAAGTCTACTAATCTATTTACTATATTTTAGCTTCAGCTCGCTATTTTCCTATAAACAATAATATAAATAAATTCACAAAAATTGGTTAAAATAAGTTTACAAGTAATATTTTTGATATTTATATGAATACTATGTATTGATGCTTTATATTTATATAATTACTATGTAATACTTCACTAAAAACTTCTTTAATAAAATAGATTAGATTATGCATTACCTATTTAAACTCTTTGACATTTAATAACATTTAATAACAATTTATAATGTCAATTTTTTATTGGCAAAAATGTAAATAAATAAATGTACATTAATCTAAACAAACTGTAATTTAAAAATATTCAAATGAAGGTAATCTTTATAGTTGGCGCCCTCTTTTAGAAAAAAAACTTTAAAAGCTAAAAATAAAAACTTTTATATTATTAATCAAGAAACAATTTTTTAGATATGTTTTATCTTTTGATATATGATTTATATCACAACATTCAATTTTATTACACATTTTAAGTTTTATTTCACAAAGAAATATTCTATAATTCCAACAAATATCTTGAATGTAGTTAAATTATTAATATAATTTGACAATATGCAGAAAAAATTTAAATCATTAGTTACTATTAACCCTCCACTGTGTCCAAAGGTGTCCAGTGGAGGGTTACATGATAATAATTTCCACTGTGTCCAAAGGACAGTATGATAATAATTTCAATTCAAATGACTATTTATATCCTCTGTCAAGTCAAGGATTAAATAATTAATGGTGGGTGTAAACAATTAATAGTTTCAAATCAATGGGCTAGTTGAATAGGCTTATTACTAATGTTTTTAAATATTTTTTATATTTTACATACACACACACACACACACAGCGTTGACCATATTTTGAAAAAAAAATGTTATTCATGATTGTATTGCTAAAATCTTTATTATCATTTTTGTTTTCTTCTGTAGATGAATTTTTTTGATGAAACTCAACAATATTTTTTGCATCTATTTCATCTGCATCTTCAAAATGCAACTTTCCTTCTTTTTGAAAAATTTCATGAGAGTTAAGCTTTTAAAAAACTTGAAACTTTTTAAAGAATCATTAATTAACTTTTAAATTTTTTCATTTTTTAAATTTATTTTAATTTTTATTTACGTAAGTAAAAATATAAAATGAAACTCCAACAACCCACTAGTTGTACAAAAAAATCCAATCTACTCTGTACCATATCACAGACTTTAATCCACAAATATATATATATATATATATATATATATATATATATATATATATATATATATATATATATATATATATATATATATATATATATATATATATAAATATATATATATATATATATATATATATATATATATATATATATATATATATATATATACAAATAATTTAAAAGATTAAAAAAAGTTTACTTGATGTAAAGGTTCTCCAAGAGGCATTGCAGAATTTTTACTTGGACGAACTAAGCAAAAAAACAAAAAATAACTAACTAAATAAATTATAATCATTATTATATCATACAATTATAATAAAAAAAATAACAATTAACTAAATAAAAAAACAAATAATAATAATTTAATGATTGAAAAAAAATTAAGATTGTAAGAATTAAGAAAAAATTAAGATTGTATCAAACCTGATGTCTTTATTGAAGATATTGGTCTGAAAATAACTGAAACTATAATTTTTCCAACTTTACGCAAGCTTTCTGCTAATCCTCTTTTTGTGTCACCGTGGAATTTAAATACAACGTTTAATTCTCTTTTAAAAATATACCAGTCATTCTAAAAATATTATTTTTGGGTCACCATGGAATTTAACGTTTAACTCTCTTTTAAAAATACACCAATCATTCTAATAATTTTTTTTTTATTAAAAGTTAATTAAAAAATATTTTTTTTAATTTTTTACCCTGGTAAGTGGCAGATTACAGGATCCCATAAAGTCATCATTGTCATCAGCAAGAATGACATTTTTTAGAATCAAAGGGTTTTGGTCATGAATTATAAATGATAGCGTTGTCTAGAAATTAAATATGATAATTTAGCATAATTTAACATAATTTTTCATAATTTATTTTGCATTTTAAAAATATTTTTTTTTGCATTTGCAAGTATAAAAAATTGTGAATAAATTAAAAAAATAAAATTTTTTAATATTTTAAATAATTTATACTTGGGTGTAGTCTAAAGTAAAAAACTCAATCATCGTGTCCCATTCAGGGTTTAAAGTCTCCTCAATAACATGTCCAATTTGTATCTATAAAAAAAAATTAAAAAAATAAACTAAACAATGCTCAAAACTAATTTTTTTAAAATTGAATTATTTAAATTATCACAAATATTTATTTAAATTATATTAAATTTGTCGATTGTTCATTCTCTCATGCCACCTTTTTGCTTTGTAATTTATTTTAAATTATTTTTGTTTTTAATATATATATATATATATATATATATATATATATATATATATATATATATATATATATATATATATATATATATATATATATATATATATGTATATATATATATATATATATATATATATATATATATATATACATATATAATCTTTGAATGTCATTTTCTTGTTATACGTTAAAATATGGTTAGAATTTAATAAGTACAGCTGCGTATAAACTTTTTTTTATATATTTATATATTTTTATATTTTTTTTTAGTATATATATATTTTTTCTTAAATATATAATTATTTCGATATTTCGCTGATCTATTGTGATCAGCATCATCAGGTATAATAAATAAAATAGTTACAAAAATCGTTATAGTAAAAACAAAGTTCAATATTCTGGGGCTCTAGATAATGTTTTGGGGTGCAACCAATCAAACTTACCATGGCATGTTTTAGAATGCTCAGTTGCACCTGAACTGGACCATTTTCCTTTTAAGCTGTTTGTTTTTTTTTAAAGCTGTTTTTTTTTATATACAATATTAAATTAATGAATTAATATTAAACACCAAAAAATAAATAAATAATATTAATATTGAACACCAAAAAAACAGCTTAAAAGGAAAATGGTCCAGTTCGGGTGGAACTGAGCATTCTAAAACATGCCATGGTAAGTTTGATTGGTTGCACCCCAAAACATTATCTGTAGCCCCAGAATATCGAACTCGGAAAATCAGAGAGTCACTCAAAATAAGCAAGGCTAGGGTTCAACAGGAGTTGAGAAATGGTGACGTGGTTCTCAATCGGGATGACGGTGATAACGTAACAACCAAAACCTGGGGGCGATTTTTAATAAAATCTGCTGACGTCAGTTATTTGATAAGTTTTTTCTGTATTATATTTTGGCTTTTTAATGTTATCTTTTTAACGGTTTGTTTTTACTATAACTACTTTGTAACTATTGCAAAATAAAAAAAAAACATTTTTTTTTACCAAATAAATTTAACTGTAGTAAACATGATTCATTTTTTATAATTTCCATCAAGTTAAAACGTGGTTTAAACTATAGATTGTTTACATAATACTTTATTCAGCTATGTGAATTAAGTAACTATAGAAACAAAGTAAATACACACAAAGTAATTATGTAAATGAAGGAAATGCTATATTATTATTATTATAAAAGAGAAAAAAAAAATTAGAGCAAATTTTGTTTCAAAGTATAAAATGAAATGAAAAGAAAAAATACACTCAGAAAAAAAAGCTAAAAAAAGAAAAAAAAAATGACTAAAAAAGTATACAAAAACATACCAACTCTTTGTTTGCAAAGATCATAACATAAGGATCACTTGTACCACTGCTATCCATAGGAATCAAGTTAACACCTTTATGCACTCGCACAAACAGCACACCTGACACTGAAAAAAAATAAAAATACGATTATCAAAGTTCTGATGTCTATGTAAACAAATCATTCACAATAAATTTAAAATTAATCTAGATTAACTTTAAACTTAATTTATTGAAATGACTTTGTTAATAAAAATGTAATGATGAAAAAAAAATCAAAAATTGAAAGTAATGCAAAGACCTTCTGTTGGCTGTTCATACTTCTCAATAAAACTTTTTTCAAACATTTGAGCATCAGTTTCATTGCAAACATCAATTATAGGAAGTGAAGAATAATCAAGATGCAAACATAACAAAGATCCTTCAATATTTTCATCTTGTAACTCTATGTCTCTAAATAAAAAACAAAATTAAAGACTGCCCAATTAAATAGAAAAAACACAACAAAATAATAAAATTAAAGACTGTCCAATTAAATAGAAGAAACATAATAAAATAATAAAATTAAAGACTGTCCAATTAAATAGAAGAAACACAATAAAATAATAAAATGAAAGACTGTCCAATTAAATAGAAAAAATGCAATAAAAAAATAAAATGAAAAACTGTCCAATTAAATAGAATATTAAATAGAATTAAATAGTAATAAAAAAAATTAAACACTGTCTGATGAAAAATGAGCAATAAAAAAAAAATTACAAATTTCAAGTACTCAAAAATTCTAAAAATTCTGAAAATTTTAAAAATTCTAAAAATTCTGAAAATTTTAAAAATAAATGAAATTTTGTTAATAAAGGACACTTTTTAAATTTTCTATTGATAAAGGATATGAAGTGAATTTATTTCACTGGTTATTTTAAATTTTATAGTGATATCATTATCAATTAAGAAAGATACAATAAATTAACCCACACTAATAACATTTTTTCACTGGCAAAGCACCAGTGAAAAAATGTTTTTCACCAGTGAAATAATGTTTTTCACTGGTCCTTTACCAGTGAAAAAAATGTAATTTTTTTCTGTTTGCAAAGGTTAAAAGAAAGCACAGTAAATTTTTTCTAGTAAAGATCATGTTCTAATTAATTCCATTTTCGAACAAATATGTTTTGTATGCTTACAAATTTATTTAACAAACATGTTGGTCTGTTTACTTAATTTTTTTAGTTTTATAAAACTTATTAACAATTAAATAATGGTCCACACATTATTACTTATTCAATGTGCAAGTGGTGCTGTTTGTGTTAGCTGAAAATATGTCAAAGTCAAAAGTCAAAGAATATTGCAGTCATATAAAGGGTTTTATAGCCAATATGAATTTAAAATTAAAAATCTTACTGTTCTGGATTCTGCTCTAAATTCATTCTGATCAGTGGCAACACATACTGAACAATGGTAAAATCTGGCCCAAACCTACGTTTACCTTTAATTTTAACACGTAACTAAAGTCAAAATAAAACAAATAGATTTTATTTATTTTTCTTCATTTTTTACTGTTTTTTTATTTAATAATTTTGTTTTAATTTCTAAATAAAAAAAATTAGACTAAATTAATATATGTTATCTAAACTTTAATTTGATTTTAATTTCACAAGATTGACATCTTTCACTAAATTGACATCAGCTATGAATGTTAATACATAATCAAACAAACCTTATCAAACTGCAAACTATGAATCAACATTGAAACTTGCTCTTGCCATAAAACATCCGCACTGATCTCTTTTGTTCGGATTTTTAGCCTGTCTAATGTGAGGGAACACCATTGCTCATCACCTAAACATCAAAATAAAACTTAACTATAACATAAATGTGTATATGTGTGTATATATATATATATATATATATATATACATATATATATATATATATATATATATATATATATATATATATATATATATATTTATATATATATATATATATATATATATACACACATATATATATATATACACACACATAGATCAGGAGTAAGTATTTTATTGATACACTATTTTACTAATACCACTAAGAAGATCTAAGTGACTATCTAAGTCTTATGAACTTGCCCTATTTAGAATTTCTTCTAGGAAAGTTATCTTGACCATGGCTAAAGAACATTACCTGCCCTGATGTAAAATCAGTTTAATAGTTAAGTATAAATAAATAATAATATTGTAATTTTTTAAAATTATTAACTACTAATTTTAGTTATTGGATTAGTATTTGTAACAAATTAAAATTTAAGGTAACAATCGACCAACAACAAATGGTAAAAATTAACATATAATTAGTTTTAAACCAACGTTAGCCAACAACAAAATCATAAAATGCAACGTATTTAAAATTATTTTTATAGAGTAATAATAGAATACACTATAAGGATTTTGATTTAATTAAAACCATTTCACATAACAAAGTAAAACAAAGTATGATATATAATGATATATAAAACTCTAGAAATACAAAAATAATTCACATTTAAAATTATCTATTGTTATACATTTATCAATTCTCAACTATAAAAAAAATTTTATAACTTACTTGTGGCTTTTCCATTTAAACCACCTTTAATTGTTATGGTTAATACACCAGTAGCTTATAAAAAAGACCATACAAGTTACAAAATAAATTTAAAAAATTTTTTTATTATAAAATATATAAAATGCAAATCTCTTTAATTCAAAAAAAAACTTTAAATTTAAAAAAACAAAAAAATGGCAATGACTAAATAAACCTTTTTTTAAAAAAAAAAAATTAAAAATAAAAACTCTTACCATAACCACTTTGCCTTCCTAACAACTCAGGGTCATTGCACAAGGGAATGGTTACATAACCAGGATCAACCAATGCTATAAAATGAAAAAGTAAAGATCTAAAAAACTATAAAAACAGATTTTTAAGATTTCATTATTTCTTCACTTTAAACAATCCAACCTGTAGACTGTAACCTGAAAAAAAGTTCTCCATAATGTCATATTGTTAACTTTTCAATGATAAGTTCTTGTAATAATGTTAAGTTAAAATAAGATAGCAGAATGGAAAAAAAAAAGTTTTATATGTAAATAACAAAATTATATAACCAATGTAATGTACAAAATGAGGTTTTTAGAAAAAAAGACATGTAACAGAATGTAATGCAATACTTCATACCAACTAAAAACCTTCAAACCAGTTGTTTTAATTGACATTATTTTCTCAAATATTTAGAATATAATATACAAATATATTTCTAAAAAATACTTCTAATAAGGCTGCAAATTAATTTTTTTTTTTTTAATTCTAAACAGTTACTTTTTTTTAAATTAGGTTTTAAATTAAGTTTACCTTCCCTCAAGAGCTACTATAAAACATAATATTGTGTTTAACTTCACAGAAGTTAAACACAATATTATGGATATAACTCTAGTGAGGGATGAACTCTGTACCTCTTTCTTAAAATATAATAGCACCCATACTGCATGTCATGCAAGAATACATTAGTGGATATAATTATCAGTATACCTGAAAAATTAACAGGATTTGGTTGTAAAGATTTTTCCGGAAGATTCTATTTTAAAAACTTTTTTCAAACATAAAATTAAACCATTATTCATAACAAATTTTAGTGAAATGTGTTGTTGGCTAAATTTTAGGCTTAAAAAACACATCTTAACTAAAAAGGAGCAATTAGTAATTGTTTTTTACTTGATCTTTTTCTCTCTCAATCAACTTGTTGATTATTTTCATCAGTTGACAAACTTTTTTAAACTTTTACATTTTCATTTGTTGACTGCTAAACTTTTTTAAACTTCAAAACTTTTTTAATTTTTTTAAATTTTTCGTTTCAAAATTAAAATGTTACAAAGATTTTCTCTCTGCATGCATAAATAAATAGTTTTGAATTTCCTTTTTTTTTTTACTTTTGTCAGAAAATAAGACATATTTGATCAACTTTAAACCCAAAAACTTGAAAAATGCAGATCCAAAAAGTGTGTGGCTTTACTAAATATGGATTTTAGAAACAACTGAAACTATAAATGATCAATAGATAATGAAAAAATTAATTTAAAATCTCAAACAGACAGGTTTTATATTATACCTTAAATAAACCTTAAAAAAATGTGTTTAGATTAAACTAAACTTACCAAAACAAACTATTTATTAAAATAACCAAAAAAACTTGATAGTGTTTTTGTAACATTACCATCTGTGTCTGAATATTAGCATCTAAACCATCTGTGTCTAAGTATTAGCATCTAAACCATCTGTGTCTGAGTATTAGGCTTATGAGCCTGCATAATTTTTTTGTTATTCAAATATCTAGTTTGTTTAATGAATGTGTGTTCACTGTAGATGTTTTATGGAACAATTTAATTAACACGAGCTTGGATTTTCCCTTTTTTCAACTTTCAATTATATTTAAACTTTTTCACTGCATTTTAGTTTAAAAATTATATTTATTAAAATATATAATAAAATAATTGTTTGAGAAAAATTTTATTAATCAAGTTAGCAAGTTATCATTTAATTTCTTTTAAAAAAAAAGTTTTTTTAATTTATTTAAAAAAGGGAAAACATAAACATTAAAATCTAACTTCAACAGCAATACTTATTTTTATTGACTTAAAAATAAACACTTTAATCAGATCAGATTTTTTTTCAAAGATAAAAATCAACAAGCTGAAACTTTCCTTCACAAAAAACAATATAGAATATTAGAAATAAAAAAAAAAGGTTTTAGTTGTCTCAGCACTTTGGAATTCTTTTAAATATCTCATAGTAACTATAGTATAATGTAAACCAAAACACAATGCAAGCCCTAAATATTTGTGTGTTTATATGTATTATATGTCCTGGTATAAACCAAAACACAATGCAGGCCCTAAATATTTGTGTATTTATGTGTATTATGTGTCCTGGTATAAAACAAAGATGTAAAAAAGTTGATAGAACCTAGGAATAAAAAAAACAAAAGCCATTACAATCAACTAAATCCTGAAATGTTGTGGAATCCTATGTAAAAGTTAACACATAAAAACTTTAAAATAAAAATTGAGTATCAAGTTATAAAAGTATATAAAAATTGAGAATGAATGTTAAAAAATATAGAATATACAACATGGAAAAAAACTTACATATTTTAAGCGAATCATTTACAAGTTCATTTATCCAATTTCTCAACAACGGAAACTCCATTAGCTGAATTTTTTTCAGCATACGAATTTCAAAATTTACTTTTGGGCTAAATGATTGATTTATATATATATATATATATATATATATATATATATATATATATATATATATATATATATATATATATATATATATATATATATATATATATATATATATATATATATATATATATATATATATATATAATTTATTTACTATTTTAATTACAACTAAAATTGTAACACAAAATAATATAATGTAATATAAAAATGTCATAAGATAGTAAGCAGTCCGTGAAATTCACAAACTATTTTTAAAATTATTTAGGAAATTAGAAATTTTTAAAAATTTAGAAAACAAAGTATATATTTAAAGATGTATTATGATATTTTTTTTGTGAGAAAAAAACATATTATGCCCCTAAATGGTTTTTAACAATCATAATATTGAGAAAATAAATTCAAGAAAGTCCCCATACCCTATAATAATTATAATTGTATTTAGATTTATTTAAGATGTTGAGATTATGAATTTTAAAATTTTTTAATGTTATGAAAGTAATCCTACAGTTAAGCGGTACAATTAATTTATTTTCTTTAGTTGGTAGAGACTTTAAAAAATCTAAAATATAACTAAAGGTAAAGGAGATTTTTTTTTCAATAAGTTTAATTTATTTAAATTAATTTAAGATTAAAATTTAATATAATTCTTTTTTTAATTATTATTATTTTATTTTTGTTATATTAACTTTATTTGCATTATTTTATATTATGTAATCTTTTCATTTATATTATATAAAATAGGTTTTGTTGCACTTTAAAATTTATGGGAAGGGATTTTACATCCAGCATTTAAGGTAAGATTCTGCATATGTAGGCCTTTTTAATAAAATTCCAGCATGGGCTTTTCAGAGCCACCATGCCCCTTAGTTGTACAGAACATTGTGAAGAAAAAAAAAGCTGAACATGATAAGGCAATAATTGGCCAATAAAAAAAATTGTTTTGCAACCTGAATTTCGGCCTTCAGGGATTGTATATCTTTTTCAGATAGTTAAGAAAACAGATTAAGTATAGTTCAAAAATATCCTATTTATATTATTGCAAATAACTTATGCTAGGATCATAGTTACAAATGCATCCAATCATTGCTACATATACTACGAACCAATTATTGTTACAAATACTGCACATATACCAGGCTTGGTCAGGAAGCGAGTGCGATCGCACTTGATAATTGACCACAGGAAAATTATTTAGTTGCAAAAAACTGGCGAGACTTTTTAGTCATTTTGAGAACATTTCAAAAACAAACAAAAAAGCGCAATAAGATTAACTGGACCGATGAGAGACAGTTAAAAAAAGAAAAATAACTTTTAACGCGAAAAAACTTCTCCTAAAAAACTATAAAAATAAGTGAGCTCAAATAATAGTTACATTAACTCCCCTTTGAAAAAAATATATTATTTTTTAAAAAAGCTCAAGTAATCATTTCTAAAGAATTCTTTTTACAATAGTGTCAGCAAATTACACAAATGTGTGAAAAATTGCAGTAGTTAAGACATGTGACTTCCTGTAATTTAATTTTTGGTATAAATTGAAGTTTTATTAATTTGATCATTCATTTCTGATGAGTCTTTATTGATGAAACACAGTGTTAAATGAGAAAAAAGTTTGCTAAGTGATTTTCTACTAATTTCTAATTGCTCTGAAAATGTTTTATATATATATATATATATATATATATATATATATAAATATATATATATATATATATATATATATATATATATATATATATATATATATATATATATATATATATATATATATATATATATATACAGTATTTACTATACAGTATAATAAACTAAAATTATAACAAAATCAAATAATATAAAAATAAAGCAAGTAATTATATTAAAAAACAGACTTACACATGAAGAAAGCTTATAGAAAAAGCAGCTAAATGAGGAAATGGTATGCTCTGGTTAAAAAAAAGTACAAGTTGAATGCGACCACGAATTTGAAACTGTTCGACACTTATTTCAATATCTGACCTAAATTATAAATAAAAAAATCTATTGTTAATAAATGTCAACAAAAAAACATTTACATATATAAAAATAAGCAGCCATAAAAAGTTACAATAAATTGTTGACATTGTAAACATATCATGAAAATGTTATATATATATATATATATATATATATTTATATATATATATATATATATATATATATATTTATATATATATATATATATATATATATATATATATATATATATATATATATATATAATTATTTATTTATTTTTATATAAATATATATATTTATATCTATCTGTTATAGCATATTTATATAACAAACTGTTACTAGTTTTGTTTATCTTTATAGCATACAATGTTTTCAGAAAAAGAAGAAAAAAGCAGGGAATAATAAAAGAAATAAATGCTGCCCCCCATGCGCTTTTACTAGTTTTACAATAGCATATGGCATTTTCTGAAAAAGAAGAAAACAAAATAAATAATGAAAGCAATGATTGCAAACTCTTAGTCAATGTAGTTCCTGTTATTACTTTTAGTGTGCATTTTCAAGACCACATAAGGAGCTCTAAGTTATAACTTTGAGTCAATTAGCAGAAGTGAGACAACTGCATAGTTCATCACTTGGGATTCCATGTTCTATCTATGAATGAGACAAACTCTTTTTAAATTTAAACCATGCTTAAAGTAAATCAAAATATAAAAAATAAAAAACCATCCTAAATGCTTCGATATATCTCTCACAAATGGGCAGCGGTCGAAATGATTTTTCAAAGCTTGCCGATCAAATGTAATTTTTTCACAAAAACATGTTATTTTCCCTTGAATTTTTTGAAATTTCCCTAAAAATAGACGATCATTGATCGGCTGTTATTTCGAGCGCTGAATGGGTACTATCCTTTGATTGGCAAAGACTCCAATAGTCGCATGCTTGGCTCTGGGGTATACTTACACATTAATTCTTTTTTTTGTTAAGAAATCAGTTTTAAAACCTCTGACCATTCTTTTATGTGCTTCCGCTTAGCATCTCTTCACTCTATCCCCTTTCTCTTTATTCTTCATTGTACTCCTTCTTCCCATGCCTGAACTCTTTTAGATGTGTTTATGATTGAATTGACCATGTCCTTTCTCATTATCCCCTGCCAATATTGTTAATATTGGTGACTTTAATGCTCGTCACCCTGAATGGCTTGGCTCTAATGTCACTGCTGGCACCAAAGCCCATAACTTCTGTATTTTTCAATCTCTTACAACATACTCAACATTTTGACTTTTTTTCTAGACAATTGTAATGATTTACCTTCACTCCTTGAATGGTGTTTTGTTGCTGACCATAGCTTGTGTTCAGTTTCTCCTTACTTTCCTTTAGGTGGTTCAGACCATGCAATGATTTCTAAAAAAACTTCATCTCATACTTCTTCCATCATTGTCCATCATTACACCACTACTACCCTACAGCTGATTGGAATTCTTTTTGTAAATTTCTTCGTGATGGTTCTTGAATTGATATCTTTTTTCTCTCCACTGATAAATGCAACTCCTATGTAACCATTTTGGATCCAGGCAGGTATGCAAGCCTTTATTACTTCTCTTCAGTTCAGTGTCAGACTTCATTCTACTCCATGATTTTAACCTTCTTGTGCAACTGCTATATTTAATCGTAATCATTTTTTTCATATTTTTTAAGAAATCAATGTAAAAAGGGGTTGTATAATGTTAAGCTCCATTGATCAAAATTTTTTTTCAACTCAATTCTTGAATTTTATGAATATACTCTTCCTTCCATTCCAGTTAAACAGGTTAACTTATTGTTAGACATTAAAATAAACTCTTCTTCTATGCTGGGAGTGAATTAGAATAAAAATATATATATGATTAAAAAACTGTTGGTGCTATATGTGAAAAATTAGGAATTAGAGATAATTCACAACTAAAAACTTATAAAAAATTGTTTTCTAAATTACTCTCTAGGAAATTTACAAATTGTGAAAAAAAGTTGTATATTTTTATACAGCTTTAAAATTTTGAAAATTTAAAAAATAAAAACGTAACATTTTGTAAAAAAAATCTTTATTAAATGATGCAGATCATGCAAATGCAGATCTCACTCAGATCATGAATGGCCTCACTGAAACCTATATTTAACTCTTCTTTTACATTAAATGTTGTTATGAGATTTTGTTGCATAACAGAATAACGTAACACATGTAAACACAGCATTACTCAATATACATACTTAAATCATTAAAAGTTTATTTATGTCACTTTAACACGTTCACGCCGGCGTGTACCACCGGTGGTACACACTAGACTGCCTCATTGGGCGGCGTGTACCACTGGTGGTACACACTAGACTGTCTCATTGGGCGGCATGTACCATTGGTGGTACACGCCGCCCAATGAGACAGTCTAGTGTGTACCACCAGTGGTACACGCTGCCCAATGAGACAGTCTAGTGTGTACCACCGGTGGTACACGCCGGCGTGAACGTGTTAAAGTCATTTAACACATTGTTATAAAATTTAATTTGAAACCATGTAAAAACCTATTTAAAGTCTAAATATCTTTAAATTTTAGAAATTTTGAAAGTAAAAAAATTGGAAATTATAAAAGTAAAAAAATTGTCAATAGAATTTAAATGGTGTTTGAAAAAATTTTTATTCCTTTAAAAATCTTATACTTTTTATATATTTCTTAAAACATTGATAACACAACATTATTGTTTTATGTTTACTTTCTCACAATTTAGTCGTTTTTTTTTTAAATGAGGGGAAATTGTTTATAAGAGATATTCTTAACAAACAAAAAAAGCTATTAACAATTTTTTTTAACATTTTGGCTTTAACAAAATTGTTACCTACTACTCAGAAACTAGTTAATAATATCTAATCAACGTTTATTCAGTCCAAAAAATTAATGATAATGAAAAAACTTTCATTAAAAAGTTAAAAAAACTAAAAAAAAATCCCTATACAACCCTCAGAATTAGGGTTGGCATTCGCCAATGCTGATCTAACTGCCGACCTGAAAGTGTTTGAGGTCTTTTTTTTGAAGTTTTTTTTTAGTTTAAAATTATTTTTAAGTTATAAAGTGTAGTTTTATAATGTTTTCTAACATCCTTGAGCTTATGTGTTTTGACAAAAAAAAAAAAAAAAAGTTAGACATACTCCTTTCATAAAAAGAATTTTTTTTTTTTAACATATTTCTTTAACATATTTTGGAAATTTTAAAAGTAAAAAAAAATTGTAAGACAAAGTGATTAATTTTTTTTTTTTTTTAATCAAATTGAATTTAGTAAAACAAGTTTAAATTTATTAATATTTAATAATAAAATTATTTTAAATATAATAATTTTTTAAAACAAAAATAAGAGAAAAATTTTATTTATTATTTGTTTTTGTTTTTATCAAAAAAAAAAAAATTATTTCACAATTAAGGTAGAAATTTTTTTTACATTTACTACTTAATGTTATCCTCATAAACTATTTCAAAAGAATATTTAAAAATTGATAAAATTTTTTGCGTGACGCAAATGGCTTAACGCCTAGGTAAAATCACTATTTTGTACATAAAATGCAAACAGGATAACAATTCTTAATAAGGCATGCATTAGATTCATCTTATTATCAAACTTCATTCAAGGTAGCATCAGATTTACCTTATTATCAAACTTCATTCAAGGTAGTTGACCTTGAAGCTAACACAAATTTACACTTTTTAAAATGTTCTTTATGATGACCTTTGGGGTGATGTCTTTTGTCTCCCTTCTATTAATTGTTCATTCTTTATAATGTCCTGGATTGAGGCATAAAAGCTTTTATTCTTATTTTGCCAGATTCAATTTAAGCCTCAATCTACTTCTTGTTTGTTTGTCAACCAATCATTCCATTTACAAGTATGAGTTTTCCATACATTATAAGGATGCAATTACAAATGTACTTTTAAAACCAAAATCATCTATTTCACAAAGTATTGCATTTGATATTTTTAAAGGTTTTTTAGCTAGAGCATACAAAATTTGTTCAGAACATAACATTTAAGATGAAATCAATTTTCTTTATTTATTATTATTATATATTTTCTTTATTTTAATATTTTTACTAAAAATTGACATTCCTATAAACAATATTCAGATATTACTAATAATTACAAATATTCCTCAAATCTGTTTATTTACTGTGGGTCCCGAAATTAAGCCTAGTTCTTAGAAAAGAACTAGGCCTAATTTTGTAAAGTTGGCATTAAAACTGTCTTCCATATTGGTAATCCCTTAATCAATATACTTTGCAATATTAAGTCTAAACTACCTTCAAATAGTCATTTGGGAATTTACCAGCTTGATTGTACATGTCGTACATGTTATATTAGTGAAATGCAATTTATATTGTAAAAAAAGTTTTCCTCATGAATTAAAGAGCATAAAAGTTATGTTACTAAAGCCAACTGGGATGCAAACGGAATAGTGGAACATACAAAAGATTTTAATGGTAGAATAAACTAGGAGAACCCTAAAATTTTCTTGTGGTTGTTTAAAACGTTGTTATTAACAACCACACAAGAAATCTAGGAAAAACATAGAAAATGAAATCTAGGAAAAACATCTTAAATCATCACCAAATTACCATTGAATTTGGTGATGACTCTCGATTGGAAAACACTTTTTGTAAAATTAAAATATGTTGAATATCTGACGTCACAATGAAATAATATTGTTACTTTCATAATAATCTTTTTTTTACGCTTTTTTTAAAAGTCTCATTAGCTTGATAATCAAGTAAAAAAGAATTATATAGTACGGTATCATACTATATATCATGATATTTTAACACTATATATATATATATATATATATATATATATATATATATATATATATATATATATATATATATTAATATATATATTAATATATATATATATATATTAATATATATATTAATATATATATATATATATATATATATATATATATATATATATATATATATATATATATATATATATATATATATATATATATATATATATATATATACAACCCTCGGAATTAGGAAAAATGAGGTCGGCAATATTTTGCCAACTTCAATCTTTCTGAGGTCGGCATAAGGTTGGCAAAACTTATTTGATACAAAGGTCTGACCATAAAACATAAAAAAGAGGTCAGCAATTTTTCACCTACCTCAAACACTTTCAGTTCGGCAGTCAGGTTGGCATTGCCGAATGCCAACCCAAATTCCAAGGGTTGTATATATATATATATATATATATATATATATATATATATATATATATATATATATATATATATATATATATATATATATATATATATGTATATATATATATATATGTATATATATATATATATATATATATATATATATATATATATATATATATAATTAAAGTAGTGAAGATTCCACATTAAGTAACACTGATATAAAAAAAAATTATGTATACATTTTGTTGGATATTTTTGTTGTGATGATCATTTTGGAATCGGGGGCATCAAGAGCCATATCTGCATCAATAACTACTTGATAGCGTGGTCGTTTCGGCAGATCAGAAGGTGGATTACGATACAAAACTTCTGAAGCCATTAGCTTGCGAAGATCTTCAGTTGTATCATAAACTGTAAGATACTTAAAATATGGAGTTCTGTTACCAAGTGTAAAGTCTCTTACTTCAATAGATTCTGAAAAAATTAAATATATATTTTATTATATCTATATGTAAGAAAAAAAAACATTTCCCTACAGCCCAAAAAAATTGTTCAAAAGTTAGATTTAAATCCTACAGTATCATAAAGTACCCAAACTAAAAAGACAAGCAGAATACAGTGATAAAAATTTAAGCTTGATTGTTGCATGATAAAATTTAAAACCAACATAAAACAAATTTAAAACAAGTTTTGGTATAATTATGCGAGATTGGTATAATGCCAACAAAGTCAAGGTGGTGCCTTGAATGAATCTATGAAACTAATGAAATTATGAACTCAATATCTGGAACTTTGCCTAATCAAAAAATACTAGGTCTTTTTGAAATCTAAGAAAGCAGGTGAATTTGTCAAGGACATAAAGCAAATGGAGAGATAACTGAATCTGTGAAAAGATTTCCATCAAGTACTGTGCAGAGCTTCATGTGCTCCATCAAAAAGAAGACACAAAATTTTTACGTTTTTGAATAGTTTGAATTTTTTTCTATCAAGTCTAATTGTTCCTTAATAAACAAGCTTTTATTTAAATCCAACAGAACTTTGCCCATTTAAGTAATTTAGTAAAAATTTCAACTCCTAAAATTGCACTTTGTGCAACTACCTTAAGGGTGAAACTTCTTTTCTGATTTTATATCACAAATGTTCGGTTCTAGAGACTTTTAGAAAACTTTTAGCAATGTGGTTAATAAAGGAAAGTCTAATACTCCATATCTTCTACATTGGCACAGTGGACCCCAAAGACAATGTTTTCAAAATAGAATTATAACTAATGACTAAAAAATCTCAAAATACTCATCAAGGACTTTTTAGAAAGATATTTTTTTGTTGGTTAGAAAATAATTAAAATTTTTAATATTAAACTAAATTTGAAGACTGTTTTCAAACTTTTTTTTTTTTTTAATTAATTCACCTCCTCAAGGCTGAGAAGGCCACTACAGACGAGGAAGCTACTTTATTTGTGACTATAACTCTCTCTCAACTCTATAACTCCGAAATATGAACCTTGATGAACAAGGCCGCTGCGCGGAGAAACAAGTTGAATTACTATATTTGTGCAATTTGATAAATTATTGTTTTTTGATAAATATTCAACTTTATTTCTCCGCGCAGCGGCCTTGCTTATCAAGGTTCGTGTTTCGGAGTTAAAGAGTTGAGAGAGGGTTGTACCACGATTTACAACAACAAAAAAATAATTAAAAAAAAAAAAAAAAAGAGTAGCCTCCTCGACTGTAGTGGCCCCCTCGGGCCTTGGGGAGGTAAATAATTAAAAAAAAAAAAAAAGTTAAAGTTTTTATAGGTGACAGCTAAAAGAATAATTTTTATGGCCTGGTTCCTGTTTATTCATAGAAATTTTAGTACTTAATAACAAGTATTTGATTTAAAAAAATATTAGTATAATAAAATTATATTGCATATATTTGATATTGCATATATATATATATATTAGTGCATTCAATACTGAAATCATTTTTCAATACCGGTATTTTGGTACTGAATAATTTCAATACCAGTATTATACCAGTATTGAATTTTTTTCTCTCAAATATGTGTTCACATTAAAGCGAGTGATGTAATGTTATATTTTAAATCAGAGCTGAGCTTTTAAAAAGAAAAATCATGCACGGAAACTTGTTTATGCTTTGTCTATTACTTTCATAATTTTAAAACTCCAATTTAATCTTATTTAATTCTAATCTATATAAATATTTTGTTTAAGAAGAATGGTATTCATTAGAATAAATTAAGTTTGAAACAGAATCAGGCACGGAACAGAAAAACGCAAACTTTAGTTAGGTGAAAGTTTTAAGTATATTTATGCGGTAGTGGTGTAGTGGTAAAAACACTCGCTTCATAAGCGAGAGGTTCCGAGTTCGATCCCCACCACGTCCCTGGTAGTACCGCACTCAACTTGTTTCTCCGCGCAGCGGCATTGTTCGTCAAGGTTTGTGTTTCGGAGTTATAGAGTTGAGAGAGGGTTATAACCACTATTAAGTAGCCTCCTTGTCTGTAGTGGCCTTTTAGGCCTTGAGGAGGTGAATAACTAAAAAAATATATATATGTGAGCCAAATATGATAATGCATCGCTCTTATGGTGGTGAGAAACAATATCTTGCGCTACCAGCCCATCACTTTAGCATATTATGAAAGATTTTTTTTATATGCAATATTTTCACTTAAATAATATTTTTATAGTATATTAAATCATATAGCACCTTAAGTTTAAGCTGTACTTTCCCCAACTAGACAAATAAACTTCATGGTAAAATATAAGTTCCATCAGTAATTTTTTTTTTAATAATATTCTAAATATTATACAGTTAAATATAATACAGGATTACACTATCAAATTATCAGTATTACAGCAATAGTTTAAATCCAGTTTAGGCACAAGTCACTCAAAAGTTGAAAATTTGTTGAGTTCATGTTGTTATTTTTAGGAAATAAAATTACTTGTGAATATATCAAATAAAATATTATATCTCTACAACTCATATTTAATATATTTTTGATGAGAAATAGCAGTCATCAAATATTTCTTGTGAGATTAAAGCGTTTAGAAAAATATTGTATATTTTTCAAACTACTCGCCCATTAACACACACACTCACAAAATAAAATGATGAAAATGTTTAAAACATTCAAAAAGTCTAAAATATGAAAAAAATATTTTTGTTAGACTTGTTCTTTAAGAAAATCATAACAGTATGCATATTGCTACAAGTCTTCTAATAGTATGCATATTGCTACAAGTCTTCTAATTGTAAATACAAAGAAAAACTTAGTTGCATTTATTTTCAGAAAAAAAAGTGTAATATTTTGCATTTTTTTAGAAAAACATTTTACTTTGGGGTCGTCCATAAATTACGCCACATAGTTTTTGACATTTTTTGACCCCTAAACCCCCCCCCCCCTCCTGTTCATAATCCATCCAACACTTTATTGACCCCCCCTCTAACATTATGCAACAATTTTGTACTCCCCCTCCGCCTAAATTTTTTTTTTAACTTTTTTATGGGGGAAAGGGTTCTATTCTTTCCTGTATATATTTGCAATTATTTAAGTAATATTATTAAGTGTGTGCTTTTTAATATAAATACTATGATATTAAAATTTGTCATTATTTTTTTTTCTTTGTGTTTGCAGAAACATAGAATTAGGAAATTTCTCATTATGAGCGTTATGCATATATGTTAAAAAATGCTTTGAATAAATTTTTTGCTTATAACAACAAGCATCTAAAAAGGAACATCTTCAAAATAAAGCCAATAATTGCGTAACTAGAATATATAACTAATTAAAAATAAGTTATTTTTCATGTTTTTTCATAGATTTTTGAATAAAATGTAAACATAGTAAATCTTTGTTTTAAATTTTCTTTTTTACAAATTCATTTTGCTGAATCAAATTAAAGAGTTCAGGAAATAGTTCAGGCGCAACTTAAAAAATTATAAATATAATCAAAGACAGTTTGTCAAACTGTGTTATGATTGTGTGGCTTTTTGGCCAACTGTGTTACTTTTGGCTTCTTTTAAAAAATTACCTTGTAAAATAAACAGAAATGAATTAAAAATTGTTTTTCACTTTACAGTGACAATTTAAATAATTCAATCAAAACTTATAATTCTATTCATATAACCAGAGCAATATGAAATTCTATAAAAAAAATTATGCTATTTACTTATTTTTATTAATTAAAAATTACTAAAGTATTATTTTTGAGGTTTATACAAATCCTAAAAATATTTCTTTATTAAGTGAAACTTAATAAAATAAATAAACTCCATAATAATTTATGCTTCTGTACAAATTGTAAAGAGCAATTCATTTTTTTGTAGAATTTCATTTTGCTATGGTAATTTTAATCCTATTATAAGTTGTAAATGAATTGTTTAAATTGTCACTTTAAAGATAAAATTTTTTTTTATTAATTTCTGTTGATTTTACTAGGTATTTTTTTAAAAGCAGCAAGCTGCTCCAATTAAGGAATTCCAATTTAGGAAACCTGATGCCTTGATTAAAAAAAAATGGTGCCTCAACAAAACCGCTTTTATTTCCAATAACAGTGCAATCATTTTAGTCAAATTATGGTAAAGAGTATAATTGGGTTGTCTGTTTGTATTATGCAAATCATAAATGTTTTCATAGTTCTTCCGAAGATGTTTTCATCTTCAGTTTAAAAATATTTATTCCTTAGGTGTTTTAATTTTACCAACTCTCACCTAGTAAAGCGTGTATAAATTAGGGTTGCCAACTTTGGAACTTGTTATGTTCCATTAGCGTTAAACAAATTGAAATTTTCACAACATTCTCCTATTTTTCTTCTATAGTTTTTAATAAGTAGAAAATATATGCATAAATTATTAATAATGCATTATAAATATTTTCCTTGCCCTAGCTACTAACCCCTGCTGAACCTTATAGGGGTTGCTACCCAGGTCACTTATTACCTGGCTCATACATATATATTCCGGAAACCCAGGAAAGCTGCCAGAATAGAGAGATGATGAGTACTCTGTTCTGACCGGGTACCAGAGAGTTTTTCTCATGAACCAGGAAAACAATACTGCTAGGTGTTTGAATTGGATTATTTTACTGGTTTTTCCGGGTACTGAAAATATAACTGCTGCTATGGGAAAACCAGGATTAAGCTGGGTACCTGGCACATCTCTACTGATGATCTTATATTAAAATAACCGTCTGTGGAGCCTCTGTATACATTATTAAAGTATACATACTTAGTGAGATTTTGAACTTGGGCACAAT